ACTACCATCCTCAGAATGCCTCTGTTGACACCCAACATGTCAAAGAGTTCCCGAACATTGCGGCATTTAAGATGAAGCGCTCCGGAGACGGCTCAGGTAAGCAGCTTCTGAATTGGGGGGGTTACAAGGCCTAATTGGGGTTGGCCTGCGTAGAACCCCCGTCATGACCTACCTGATGCTTTTGCCCACGTGCACTCGCAAAGGAAGTGGAAATAGTGGGTTTCGCAATTATGAAAATAGTCGTGATTAGTTCTGCGGGTCAGCAGGGCCTTCTTGTGCTTCAAAGCCCAAACGAATCGTGGCCGTAAGCTCTCCACACAACCAACAAATATCACATGATGCCGGGGTACTGTCACACCCAACCGGAGACCACTAGCTTCTTGCTCCACCACGAAGCCATGCCTACACAAAATCACATCTACAATGCTGATGAAGGATAAGGTGATAGTGAACATCCTTTCCAAGCAGTAAGCCAAGGGCTCCATATGAGGAATCCCGCGAAGGTCCAGGTGCATGTCATTTCCGCCTGCAGCCAGGGCTGCAGCAGCAAGCAGCTGCAAGCCCCTTTGCAGCCAGGATGCCTTGGAGCGCCCACTTTGAAAGTGCATGAATGGCACTGGGTGGCAGCACCTGCGCAAGACCCCAGGCTCCATGCCATTGTTTCAGTCAGAGCAGCTTCTAGCAATTCTAGCATGTCGCTGCCCTTATCTGGCTAATCTCTTTAAATCACAAACCCCTGCCTCGGTGCTGATCCAGCTGGCCCAGTCCAGCAGAGGAGTTTTCGTCCAATCCTTTGTTGCCAATGCCCGGCTGTTACACACCAATCGCAGATCCACTGGGCGGCAAAGGTGAATTGAGACCCTTCAGAGACCTTGGAAATCAGCGTATCCTGCTCTCAACACAGTGGCAGATTGAGCTCGGCATTCGTCGTTTCTGCAAATGCTGTGCTTCGTAAGCATTCACAAGCTCTAATAACTTGCGCCAAAACAAAAACGGCCCACGTTGATGGCTCTACCGCACAAACCGCAGAAAACTTGGAGGCAGGTCTCCACCATGCCAGGTTCAGATGGCAGATCATCTGTGATGTGGCCGTCTGCCTTGGTTGAAATTCCTACAACTTGGATTGCAGCTGCAGCCATCGTGAGAGTGTGGGAAGGGCATCCAAGCCTTCGTATGGGTGAGGGCACCCATCATTACTTATGAACCACCTGTGCTGGACACGCCGAACTTGAAAACACAACCGGCAAAGCATGCTCAGCGCCAAGCGTCCGGAAGCACTGGCTCAGAGCCATTGCCGCCTTCCTGATGCACTGTCTATCAAGACAAACACTATAGTAGTCCCCATGTTCCTTTGCATTATCCCTATATAGCCCCAATATTGAACCCCTATAATGTAACCCCAATATTATTACCAACCCATTGTAGTAGTTTGCATTTTCTTTTCCATGATCCCCATATACCCCAAAAAAACCCTGTAACACTATAGTAGTTTCCATTTTCTTTTCCATTATAACAATATTACCCCAATATAACCCCAAAACTATAACCCTACACAAGCTCCTCCAGCCGCCGTGCAGTATCCGGTGGCAGCAACAACCTTTGTGGAGAAGAGGGTCCAAGGGGGTCCATCAACTATGCTTAGGCTATTGGGGTTATGTTGGGATTATGTTGGGATAATGGAGAATAGCCTGGAAACTACAGGGATTATGGGGTTATATAGGAATCATAGTATATTATGGTTAGGCCAGCTCATGCCCAGGTATGCGCAACTCTTCCTGGCAAGACACAAGATACGCAGAATAATGCAAGCAGAAAGTGCAAAGTTTACTATAGGGATTGCTCTCAGTATCAGTGAAGCGCTTTGGAAAGATCATCAGGTTTGAACATGAATCTCCAGCAAGAAAATCAAGGCGCTTGTTCAGCTTTGTCAGCTGCTCCTGGAGCTGCGGTGCTACTTGATCACTCATCGTTTGGCAAACCTTGCACGGGCAGGCAGCTTCATGCTCAGGGTGGGGATGAGATGCGCAAACTTGAGACAAGCTGCCTTTGCCTGGATCTGATACTTTATGAGCCTTGGCATCATGACAGGACATTGTAGCAAAAGAGTACACAACTTCGAAGTAACGTGTGCTTTCTGAAAACAATTATCCTGATGCACTGGAATTCACGCAAACGCCCACCGCTTAGGTATGGCAAGGTGCTCACTCAGCAGGCCTCCAAAGGCCCACAGGAGCATGTTAGTGATCTTCACTGCCAGGCCCCCGCCCAATGAGATCTTGAAGTTCAATTCCTAACAACACATCTTTGAATGCACACGAAGCGGCCGGCCAACCTTGACCCCATCTCTTTCCAGTTGTAGACGCACAGGGGAATTCTCACAAATGCTGCTCTAACAAGACTGACCAAGCGTCGGCGCTGCAAAGGTCCACGAAAACGTGGTGCGGGTAGTCTTGGTGAAAACGCATCAGAGTGAATCCCAGCGTTGCTTTGTTGGTCTTGCTCTCGTCAATGTTGGCAGTGATGCTGCCGTCTCCTCACCACCACAGAACCCTGCGGAAATGCGAGACCTTTGACGTGCCATACGCGCCATGATGGCCCCACCACCTTGAAGAGGGCTTATTCACGCCTTGCCCAAGACCTGCACATCCGAAGTCCAAGCACCCTTCAATGAATCATGCTGCGGAAAAACCTCTGATTCTGTCAGACCTAAAGGGCTTTGCCCTGGTACTGTACTAGCAGGAACCACTACAGGAATGCTGGCAGGCGGATACTCAGGCGGAAGGCTCCTATCACCAGCCAACTCACCGTCCTTAGACGGTCGCGCATGCAGGTGCTGGCAGGACGAAATATTCTTGCAAAGGACTTGCAAACAACAATCTTGAAAGACGGCTTGGGCAGAACGAAGGAAATTACTGAAAGCATGCTGAGGTGCCCGGTGGTTTTCCACTTTCCCTCACAAACAATGTCCAGGCCAGCTAACTGGACGCGCAGCCCAAAGCCCTGACATCTGAAAGATTGGGTGACATTTTCCAAGTCTGTTCAGAAGTCGCAGAATCCAGGCCTGGGTCTTCTGGCGGCTCTTGATGTTGCTGAAGCTTCTGGCATGACAGCATGATAGAAGGATCCCTAGCGAACGGGTTTGAATGAACTTTTCATGTGCCAGAAGTTACTACGAACATTCACAGGCCAGCTGTAGCAATATCCCAAGGGCTTGAAAGACATTATCTTGGCACCAGACTTTGCCAGCATTAAAAGCGACAATTGGAGCAACCAGCAGCTGCAATTATGAGTCAGGCATAGTCAGGCCAAGGCCACATGCTGTGGCACATCAAATCGTGGAGCTCAAAGGCCATCATCCCACCAGCTACGTTTGCATGGGTCTCCTGAGATGGAACACCCCAGCACACCATATTGACTTCGTAACAGTTGCTGGCGAAGGCTCGTTGGACTCCAGCCGGAACCTGAAGGCAAAGGCGGTTCAAGCTTCCAGCATGCCATCGCACTCTAAGGAGCCTAATGTCCAGTTCAACATGTGATACCCAACATGCGTACTCATGTCGAGTGCGGCCGGGCAGCTTCAGCGACCCCAGCCAGCTCCTCAGTAGTGGCACAGCCCCCAAACGGGTGCAACAAGGCCATGACTGCAAGAGCTCTAGATACGAAGGGGAAGCAGCCAAGCATCTTCAGCGGGTCCTCATCTTGCGTCAGCTGAACCTTTGCTGCATTGCGCAAGTTGTGGGAACAAGCAGCGGCAAGAGGACAGGGTATCTCTCTGCATTATCTTGACAGATGCATGTTAGACTTTGTCCACAGGTTTGTGCTGGACATCGTTGCATCGCAAAGGCACCGTGTTTTCCGGCAGCAACACATCCTTGACAGCAAGTGTCCTCGAATGACCAGGAAGCCCCGGATGCTTACATTTTACAAACAGACTGGAGGGCCTGGAGGCTGGCACGTCTTGGCTTCAAAACTCATGCGCTGAACTGCTGCGTGGTGTTTGCAAGAGACCACACCAGCCAAGTTTCGGGAAGAAGCTCCAACAGAACCAAGCAAGCAATTGTACCATGGCCCAGACAGCTGAGGATGTCTTGCCGTGTCTACGCCGTGTTTGGGTCGAACTGAACTGCTCGGATCTGCTCTTTGCTACACCTTGCGGTCTTGTGAACTACCGAGGCGCCTTGAAGTGCATCTACCGTCTTGAGCTTGAATGATGGACTAACTCACTACCTCCACCATGCGTGTACAGCTGGCTGTGGCAAAGAAATCCAGGATCCAGGTAACACAGAAATCTTCAGCGGCTCGGCATCAGGAGGCCTTTGCACGGATTACATTTCAGCCTGGCCTCTGCGGCTTTGGCGCGAAGATGCCATGTGTGCAACTGTCACAGGGAATGCAGCAAAAAGACAGCTGAACCATGCATATGCACCAAACAGGATTGTTAATAGAAACGGTAATTGAAAGGTTCCCACTACAATATCCGTTCAAATTCTAACTTACCGAAGACAGGAACATCAGCCTTCCATGGCCGAAGGCTCAACACAGCAACTTTGCGCCGGCCTCTGGTGTGGGTCATGCGCATGTGCGCTGTCTACACTTACCTGCTAGAGGCGCGGCAGCATCATGACATCTGCAGCGACCTGTCCTAGCCGCCCTAGCCTGCGCCTCTCTGAAGATTGAGAACTTTTGAATCCTGGCTGCGAGAAGTCCTTTTGTGCCGCGGGTAGCGAATCTCGGTTGGTTTCTGGAGCCCCGCACCGGCCGCAAGCAGCCGCAGGGCCATGGACGAGATAACGGCCGGGGACCCGAACGCAAAGGAAGCTTTGAGTCAACGAGGCTTGAACGCCAGATCAGGTCACCGGCCTTCACTGGTTTCAGCGCTGGACAAGGCGGCCAAAGTGTTTTCGGCCGCGCTCAAACAATTAGGGAGCACTAGCACATCCCCAAAACATTCGAGCATCCGCGCCGCACCGGCTGTACAGGTCCTACGGTCCTATGAGCTCCTACGAGCCTGGCTTGATCTCCTCAAATTTGGATGCGCTGGAGCTGGCATCCTGCTCCAGGGCTGAGAAGGCTTAGCAGCTTCCGGTTGCTGAGCACTCGGGCCGGCCTTGTTGCTCTCGGGCCGGGCTTCCCCTGCTTGAGGCTTCACAGCCTTGCCAAGAACCACTAAGCTTATGCAAGCTGCCTTCAACATTTTGCCCCAGTATGATCCCTTTATAACCCTTAGTAGTTTCCATCTTCTCTTCCATCATTCCTATATAAGCCCAATATAACCCCTTTAATATCCCTATACAGATCCGGGGCTGCCTCTGGCTCCGGCTCTGGTGACTGCGGTGGTGGAGTTGGAGGCTGTTGTCTGTACTCGCCCTTGGCCTCAGAGATTGGCACACGCGGCAAGGCCCTGGTGGAACTGAGCCCAGGCGTAATCAAATCCAGCGCCCTGGTAGATGAACATCTCCAGAACCTCTCCCGCAGAGACTAAGAAGTGGTTCAGCAAGAGACCAAGCAAGGATGCTCCTCATACATTGAGGACAACTGCTCCGAAACAAGCAAACACAGAATGAGTGCCTGTTTCTTGCGGCAGTGGGCTCAGGCCTTGTTCAACCTGGACATCAGCACGCGAGGGTCGTCGAGGGTCCCAGCCGCAATGCATGCGTTGTCATAAAGCTGCTCTACCTCGCGTTCGTCTAGTACTTGTAAGAGCGCTCACAAGACATCTACTGGCTTCTTCACGAACCCCAGTCAAGGGCTCGAGCTGCTATCCTGGCGACGGGCTCGTTGGACGCTAGGATGGTTGCCAGCCTAACGCGCTCGGAATCAAAAGGTTCTGGGTTTACGGGAAAACCAGCGAATGAATTGCGAGGATTCTTTCACGGAATAAGAGGTGTCTCAAATGACAACCTTCAGTAGGGCTCTCTTACGTCCGGTCCACCTCTCGTGACCTGGTATGCAACAGACTTGTCAGCTCTATTCCGCACGCAGCTAAGGCCGCCGCGTGGTCACAATGTGGTGCTTTGGGCTGAGCTCAAGGGTCATGGGGATGTTCCCCCTCAGTCAGAGCTTCACATTCTACAAAGTCCTGGAATACACAACAGCCATGCCGACATCTCCTTAAGGGGCAGTGGCCATGGGATTCTCTTTTGAGGAACCCTATCAAGGCACCACAATCCAGTCTACGTCCTCTCTTAAGCTTCGTCGGGTAAGAACCATGTGTAAGAGTAACAAGAAGAATTGTTCATGTGATCTCTGAAACACTGGCGTGTAGGCCTTTGCGGACATGTCAGAGACGGACGTTAAGGCCGCTGCAGGCCATCGTTTTCCTGGAGCGCTGAACAGTCTACTTTGAGACACAACAGCCCTCCTACTTTAGCGCTTCAGAATAGCGTCCTTGCCGGCCATGAGGCTCTTCATCATCTTGCGCATATGCGGTGTGATGATGCTAGTCCTGGCACAAGCAAGTTGATCTCAGCCTTCACACTACAGGTTGCCGCACTACCATTGATTCTGTGGTGCTGGCACTAGCGCCGGGGAGCTAACGAGTCGATCGGAGAACTTTACCTCCTGCACCTGGAGTACTGCTCCCGTAAACTTTGAGGTAGATCATGTGATGTCGAATTGACTTGTAAAGTGGTGGTTCGGCCTTTTCCTTCAGCACGTCCCTGATAAATTTCTGCAGGTCGTCCTTCTCTTGCTGAGTGAGCTCCCTCCTGTCCTGACCAACCAGCCAATGTTGTGCTTCGAAATGCCTCTCACAGTGTCTCTACGCCGGGCTCTCGAGGTGAGGACTTTGGTGTATGTGTGTTTGACCCCTGAAACTAAGCTCAACGATAAGGCCCCTGGTGTCAAGATAGGGTGTAGGGTTTTGCAGATCCGTTTTGGCCATGCAATTCAGCTTGACCCACCGTGCCACCTCACTATGCTGGCTAGAGTCCTAAAGGCAGCCGGTAAACAAAAGGTCCAATGGCATTTTTGATGGGTCTCTGCAAGGGTTGTGAAGTGCCTCCTTATCATCCTCCTCGGGCTTGTCCAGATCAAGCCTCAGCGAGCAGCCATGGATCACGAACCTGCGATGGCCCATTTGGAACCCCAAAGTCCAGGTGAGGCAACCCCAAAATTTTAGGCACAAAGAAACATCCATCATTTTCAGGAACTCCCGGCTACCAATACCTTGTGATCGCCTGCTGTACAGGCTGCACTCAAAATCAGACCGTAATCGTCATTAGGCTACCTCAGGCTGCTGCTCGAAATTCTTGTCTGCCGAATCGACAGACACAAATTTGCTGTCCTGACACGGAATTTTATGAACTCGCACGATGAAGCGCAGAACGTTAGGCATACGGATCACTCCTTGAAGCCCTCAATGGCATTGACCTGCCACGCAGGCTGAAGCTCCAGCTTGCAAAAGCTATCGCTTGCAAAACACGCTGGCTCCACGACGAACTCATCGATGTCTTCGTACATCAGCAAAACATTTCGCCTGCCGTGCTGCATCACAAGTTTCATTGGCTCTGCTTACGCAAACACCGTAAAACTCTGGGGCATCCGCTGTCTCTGGACGAACCTTTAGCATCAGGAAGGCGTTAGCGAGGTGCATGCTGCAGGCTGGTTCAACAAAACAAGCTGTCGACTGCTCCATGTACGGCGACGACAAGGCTGTCTGTCTGTCAGGACCTCATCAAGAAGACGACAGAGGTTGATCTCAAGCCATGTGGTCCGCTTCTGGAGCAGCTTAGAGTCAAACAGCAGAAATAATAAATGTTCTGCTGCCCCTCCTTCGCCATGCTCATGTACTCCTGCAAAATTGCCAGCTGCAAGCTGCAAGGCACAGCAGAAAATCACAGGGTGGGTAAAGTTTGGTCCTCCAAAGACACCAACTCGCCCTTGGGCTTGTTGGAGCACCTGGGACCGACTTACAGATGTCTTGCAAGTGAAGATGTGAGGCCGAGGAGGAGGCTCGAAGCGCAAGAGCTTCAAGAGGTCATCCTTGTGGCCTCAAAGACTTCAGGACTGCACGAGTGAAGCTCTAAGCCCAAGTGAAGGATATGAGTTCAATTCCAGCCGTTGCACACAGCACCTGAGAACAGTGCGACTGAAGTTGCCTTCCTTGTCCTCAATGATGCCGGCCTGCATTAAGCAAAGCACATTAATCAAATGGCTTCGATGTTGGCGTGTAGAAACCACGTGCTACAGCTAAGGCCCAAGAGTCCATCAGCTCACTGCATGCTCTATGGCGGGCATGTCAGAATGGCTTCTTTCAGATGCCACTTGCCTTGAGGAAGTAGGCGTAGCCCTTGAAGAACTTGTTGTACTTCTCAGCATCTTTTTTGGCCTTTGACATGCAGCACACCCACACCCCCCCACCACAACCACTGCCCTCCCCACCCGAGCGTCAATGATCACCATGAACCCACCACCACCGCCGCCGCCACCACCACCACCACCACCAGCACCACCACCACCACCACCACCACGGCCGCAATCAGGAGCAGAAGCATCGTCATCATCATCATCATCATCATCACCATCATCATCACCATAATCATCATCACCATCATCATCATCACCGTCATCATCATCACCACCATCATAATCAACATCATCAGTAGCGGCAGCAACAGTAGGAATGCAACATAGAGCACCTGCATCCCATCACCAGTACAGCCAGGCATGATGGCCTCTTGCTGCAGGAATCGCAGAATGCGTCGCACAACGGCCATGCTGAGCCTGAGCAGCCACTTAAAGCTTTGGCGCCTTCCATCTGACGGCAAAAGCATGGTCCATTCACTCTCGAATCAAGCTCCCCCAGCAATGTCATGATGGAGAGACCCAGGCTTTTCCATGAGGCGCGTATCTTGCATGTTCTCGCGGCTGATGTTCCTTACTTTCTGTGAGTTGAACATGCGCGAGAAGTCGAAGCACTAGCCGCACACAAATGCTGGCTGGATGCATGGGCATGTCCTCACAGTCCACAATGCCCTGGAAGCTGCAGGCGTGTCGTGAGCAAGTTCACAAAGGTTGGTTTTCCAGACATCTTTTCTACCAAGGCATGAGTGAATGGAAGGATGCAAGCACATCCTCCTGTCAGTTCTGACATGCTAGGTGAAGTTAGCAATGAGCCTGAGTTCATTCACCAGCCGTGTCACCAGCCTTCATCCAGTGAAGCCACTTTGGGATGACACCATCCGCATGCTTCTTGACCATAACTCGCCGCGAGTGTAGCGAAATCTTGGCTTGGACACAAAGGACAACTAGGCAGCAGAAATGGGGCGACGTCTCGCAAGTTCAGTGCGTCACTCGCGCCCAAGTTCTGCCACAACTGAGAGCGCCACGCCTATCTCGGGATCTTTTGTGAATACGCGGCTGGGAGCATTGTCTGGATCCGGGACATAGAAACAACCTCAACATCAAGTCTACAGAATAAGGTGTTAACGCACGTGCAACTGGCAAGACACGCTGGTTCAACTCCCACTGCTGCTCCGCGGCTTTTGATAGACAGAGGAGCATCCGTCTGGTACATCCTGGCAATCGCTTTCTGAACAGCACACGCTGGCCAGCACAGTCTCAAAGAAAGCAGGTAAATGACTGAGACCCGGTCAAGGTGTAGTAGGGTTTGCCGTATGAGTTGCCGCTGAGAAAACGGAAGAACCTTGTTGCAACACAAAGCCTCCTCCTCAGAGGAGGCAAGGAGTAACCTGTTCCCATATCCGGCCTTCTAGACTAGCGGTCTGTGTTCTCTTCCTACTCCGACTCGCTACAACCAATTTTCCTCTTGTCCTTAAACCAAAGCCAAAGAGCTCCAGGTGCTGCTCCTCCGTAGCGGAGCTCTTCATCCACAGGGCCTGACTGCTAGGAACCCGAACGATGGCATGATGCAGCAGATCAGGAAAAGGCAGACATCGTCGTTATGGAAACCAAGTATCTTCTGCAAAACATGGTCTTTCTTCAGAAAGGAATTAGCAAGGACTTCTCGGCTTGAGAGGCTTGCAAGGGAAGATGCCCCCTGCCTCTTGCTTGTTGATCGGCTTTGGATCTCCATCCTGCCACTCCGAAAGTGGGCAAGCCACTACCACACTCAAACGGAAAAGCCTCCTTGATGTTGATTGGGAAATCGATGAAAGAAGAAAACCTCAGCTTCTTGTACACCACCTTCTGGATTCTCATGGAACCGCCAGAAAGCTGAGAGCCCTGCTTTTGAGCAGATTTCTTGACTGTTGCCTATGAGGTGATGCTAGGACCGGCTATGTCTGAAAGCACAAGCAAGCAAGCTGAGTGAAGGACCAGCTTTGCAAACTCGGTAGCATCATCTTTCAGAGTCAGCCTCGTGCTTTCTGATTTGCTTTGGCTATCTGGCGGTTTCCGATCGCTAGAGTCTCCGTTTGCGGGCCCCTATTAAGGAATTGTAAGAGTGCTAAAATGTATTGAAAGCATTGGGTATGGGTTGGGGCCTCCAATCTATTGAAATCTATCAGGCATGGAAGGGAAAGAAGCTTCAGGCAGCCAGTGTCCATCAAAGGCTTGTGGCAAGGGAGTTGGGGTGACGACTCTATCCGAGTGCCCCGAGGCACATCGTCGACCTCGGAGACGGTGAAGCTACCAGAACCTCATGGCGAAAATTTGTGCAAGGAGAACACTTGCCAAACCGGAGGTGCTGAGCTCTGTACCATCCGAAGTCCACAGGTAGCCCTGCTCACCCTTCTCCTTATCAGCCGTCTTCGTGTAGACCTGCAGCAGCACGCAATTAAACCCGCACGCCCTTATACACCACGTGCAACGCAGGTCCAGCAGCACCTCCACTTTGTCTGCAACCACAAAAGTCGAGTAGAAGCCAACGCCGAACCTGAGGCTCAGCAAAAGTATGCATTCAAGGTGTGGTACACTGCTCTCCCTGAGCTGCAGACTGACCAATTATCTTGCTAGCATCGGATTCTCCACCTCCAAATCACAAATTTCAAAAAGTGACGTCGCTGCATGCTTCTTTCAGCATTCTGCCCAGATGTTCTGCTGGAGTTATGTAAGCACTTGGCGCTGAAGGAAATCCAGGGAGCCGCTCTTCGCTATGGTGCCCAAATGCTCGATCTCAGTCGCTCATGCATGCAGGCCGACTGAGGCATGGCAAAAAGGTTAGCAGCACGTAGCAAACATGGCAGAGCTTGCTCCTTTTTAGGGACAAGTGTGCCAAAGACTCCTTCAAATCCACAGGCAGTTCTGAGCGGACGTTGTGCACCAAACCCTCAGTATCTGTGAAAGAAATCTGGAAGCGGTGGAGCCAATTGCGCATGCAGAGCGCAGCGTCATCCCGAAAAGTTTGAAGACTTGCGTAGATCTTGTCTCGAACCGTGGCATGACCCACATGAGCCAAGTGGCTACGAATCTGGTGCTTCCTCCCTGTTGCGATGCTTAGCACCATGTGGCTGAATGTGCACTCTGCAGTCCGGAAGTGCTTGCAGAGCACGATATCTGTTACACTCTTTCTGCCACGGCCACCGGCCACAGTAGGAACATCAGCCAAGCAAACTGTGCTCGCACGAATGCACCTTGCAAGTTGCGGCAGCCAGCCGTGGCAAAGCACGGTGTAGTCGCGGGTGACCTCGCCAGCGTGCAGCTGGACCTGAAGGTCGTAGAAGGCTTCGTAGGTCTTTGCGACGAGGATTAAGCCGGAGCTGGGTACATCCAAGCGGTGCAGGAAGCCGTGGTTGTGATCCGGATCTTGGAAGATGGGGGCACACCCAAACATGCCCCGCGCGAAGCCCAACAGCTGCAGCTTCACATGCCCACCATACACCTCCCAGCCCTCAGGCTTCTCAAGCACAGCACGGTCCAGCATTTCCAGCATGATTTCGGGATTCTTCTGTGCTGGGATGGAAGTCGAAGGCAGGTCTACCTCGCCCCTGCACGCCAAGGAGTAAGCATCCAAATTCAAGCCAACTGCCCTTAGAATGTAGGCCAAGGTTGCCCGGAATTGTGCTTGCAAGGCACCACCCAACTTGCAAGCAAACAACATGCCAAGCAATTCCTGGCCACCTGCATTGAAGGTGAGCCTGTCTAAGCTCTGCGGGCCTGACTGTAAGCGTGCCTGAACTGAGTCCTGCACTGCGCACAGAAACTCCACCTCTGCGCTGACAATCGCTGCGCCATACACAACCATGCTCAGCTCTGACATATCCAAGAAGGGCAAAAAGCGGAGCAATCGCCTCTCCGAGACAAGCCGGCCTAGATATGGGCTGGTCGCACCCAACATGGCACACGACCAGAGTAGGTATGGCAGGTCCTCCGCATGGAAAGCCGAAGCGATGGCCTCTTTGCAAGCGGCAAAGATTTCGCTGGGATCTGAACTGCCCAACGTCGCCAGACACCAAAGGAAAGAGATGGGAGACCGCGTGTCCCGAGAACTGCGCAGCAGTTGCATTGCACGGCCAGTGCAGCCGTTATACTGGCATGCGAGCATTGCTGCGTCGAAGGCGTGGAGAGACGTCTGTAGCCTCGCATCTTGGAAAAGCCCTAGGGTCTGCAAAGCCCGCTCCCAACGTAGACCCCGTTCACATGCGGTGAGAACGGCGTTGTACAGAATCGCATTGGTTTGCAAGCTTTGCAGGTTGACCTGCTCCAAGAGCAGCAACGACATGGCCCAGGATGTTGCCTTTCCACATGCACTGATGCTGGATGTGCAAGTGAATGCGTCAGGTAGCAGGCTTGCGGGTAGCAACGTTCCAAATAATTCTGTTGCACGCTGCCAGTTCCCACTTTTCTCGAAGCCATCCATCAAAGCGTTGCAACACACCGAGTCCTTCACCAAACTGCCACTTGGCATCTCCGACAAGATCAAAGCACCGCTCCGCCACAATGATTGACGCCCACTCACTGTAACATACATATTGTACACCTCTATGCTGATCCGAACACGGCTTGTCTGCAGCACAGACAGCATCACGAACGCCAAATGCCACTGACCCCTGCCACAGCAGGCACTCAAAGCAGATGTCTGTGCAACCCTGTTGTTCAAGGCATTTGCTCGCTTGAGGCCTTGTAGGAACGTTAATACTTGAGGCCACTTCATACTGCGTCCCATCACAGAGCAAACAGCGCCATGTGTTACAACACTTTCGCGCAACTGCTTCTTTCTCATGTCATCCCACACACAGAGGGACTGCTGCCATGCCTGGCCAACATCGCAGGAGGTGATCAAGGAGTTGTAGGTGATGGTGCTTGCCTGTATCCAGCTCCAGCGCATCTTTGATAGCAGCGTCTGCTGCCAGCACCCGTTCTTTGCGCAGGCACTGAGTGCAGTGCTACAGGAGATTGTGTTTGGCTGCAAGGTCGTGAAGCGTACAATTTCAAGCAGCTGCAGGGCGTTCGGCCACTGGGCCCTCTTCTCACAGGCACTGATGACAGCACTGCAACTTATCACATCTGCCAAAAGCATTGCATGCGCCATGTGCTGGAGCAGCAGCAAGCTGTGAAACCAACGTCCCCCCTTTTCCCTTGCACTGATGGATGCATTGTAGATTACAGCGTTGGTTTGCAAGCATGCTTGCAACAAGGCCCGGCTTAGACACAGGCTACCTTTCCAGCGCTGGGATGTCGCCAATGCGCTGATGATGGCACCATGCGAAACCACCAGCGACCTCCTATCTGCACACACGCTTTGACTCCAAAGCCGGCACAAGAGCTGGATGGAAACCTGCCAATTTTGTGAACCGCATGCTCGCACAGCTCCGCTATACAATCTGCCAACCACATTGTCGCTAGCCTCTGCATGGCTGATCTTCTCAAGTGCATTCTGCCATTCCGCTCGGCCTGCAGGTCCCACTACCTGACCGATCAGTGCGTGTTGGACCATTCAGCTGCGGCACAAACCTCTACCAAAGCCTACCAGGCGAGCTTACCTATCTACACTTCCGGCCCAACTGGCGTGACCAAATCCACCCCGCAGCCCTCCTACCCCTTGCAACACAATCCCAAGAAAGCCGCTAAGGCACACAAAGTTTGCATTGGAAGCGTCAACGGAGGAATTCTGACAAGCTGACTACCAGTAGCAACGAGTGCGGCCCGAGTTGAGTGGTGCGTGGAAAGTCTTCCTACTTCGTATAATTTATGTCAATTGTCCTTTGTTGTCTTCAGCAAGCCTTACGGACTCCGCAGCTGTTAACCGTGAACTGAAGCTCTCTGTGCGGAAAATGACCCGAGCGCAAGCAGCCTCGCAAAGACCGAGGCTTACGAATTTCAGGCTGGTGGATTCAAGGTCGTCCTTCTGGTGCACAATCCCTCAACTTCTTCTCATGTGCTTACAAATGGCTTAGTGCCGGCTATTCCGAGTCATAGGGTCTTGCAGTGCTCTCCCGTTTCATCCAAACGAAGCTCGCAACACCGGCTGAAAAGCTGACCGGAGGGCCAATGGACACAAGCATCAGGAAGGCTACATGACATGCTTAACCGAAGTGAGAAGGATGCCTTTGCCGTGAAAAAGTGCAGCTCATGGGGTGCAACTCACGAAGAATGGTACGCTGCAGCACGTCTGTAATGGATCTGGAGAGCAGGTAAGCTGGCACGCAGCATCGTGATGACAGTGCATGGGGCAGGGATTCAATTCATGAAACGCTGGGTCAAGTGCAGATGGTCAGGGACGATGCGGCTCTGCGTTCCTTTCAGAAGAAGCTCCAGGAAATAACCGTCGATTGCAAGTTCAACCGAGACTTGCACGCAAAAAGGCTTGAACTCAACATCCTCTCAAACCGAACTGCCCCATCTACTGCTTACCCAAACTGCCATGATTAAGAAAGTCACTGACCGAAAGAATGAGGCAAGCTCTCTCTCTATCCTCAGGCTTCGGTAGCCAGGCTTCCTGGAATGTCTGGGAGTTTGCAGTCGTATGCATCGATCTCGGCTAAGGCTTACTAACATGTCACGGAACTGAAAACGCACCGCCATATTACAGCAACACTCGGAGCTTTCTTTGACGGGGACAGAGTCACGCCAAAGCCAGAGCCAGGAGATTCAAGCTCCAAGCCCTGGACTTCAAATTCACTACGTGATTCTTATGGATTCGTCCAAAGCCTGCTTCAGATCTCGCGGAAGATCGCTGAAGATGTCCGATACCTGGCCCTGGATATTTCGGAACCGGAGGCGGTGGCGGTGCAATGCATTCCGGCCGCATAGCAAGATATCAAAGTTGAACGTGGTGATGCCAGAGTAATGATGATCGCGGACAGTGGGATGGCCGATGTGAGCCAGGTGACTTCGTATTTGATGTTTCCTACCCGTTGCAATGCCCAGGACAACCTTGCTCAAAGCCCCAACCTTGTGCCAAAGACGTCGAGATGACTGAACCTGCGTGCAGCTTGGCTTCCCACGCCCACCAGATAGTGTTGGGCGGTCATCTTCACACCACGTGCGTGCCCGTATCTCTGATACTGATTGCGGCAGCCAGCCGTGGCAGAGCACGGTGTAGTCTCGGGTGACCTCGCCAGCGTGCAGCTGGACCTGAAGGTCGTAGAAGGCTTCGTAGGTCTTTGCGACGAGGATCAAGCCGGAGCTGGGTACATCCAAGCGATGCAGGAAACCGTGGTTGTGATCCGGATCTTGGAAGATGGGGGCACACCCAAACATGCCCCGCACGAAGCCCAACAGCTGCAGCTTCACATGCCCACCATACACCTCCCAGCCCTCGGGCTTGAGCACTGCAGCTCTATCTGCCAGGTCTGTGACTACCCGTGGCTTGTCATGATGCGGTAGTGTGGTTTCCAGATTCGAGGAATAGTAGGTTGAAGCAAAACGCCGACTTCTGGAATCAAGCCGGCATCCAACACTCCTCATCATCTGAAGTAAGACTAAGTATGGTCCAGTTTGAAGGCAACCTGCGGTCCTGCAAGAAAAGATGATTCCCAGCACTTCCATCGCCCCATCTGCAAATGAAAACTTCTCCAGGGCGGCTCCGCTGATGTGGCTTGTACGGTCAGCGATTTCAGCAAGTGCAAGTTGGAGGAAGGAAGTGCTGTTTGCCGCTGACGCACCTGCACTCATCATACTAAGTTCCTCTAAACTAAAGCTGGCCAGCTGCTTTTCAGCAGCTTTTTGCAGCAGCCTGTCGAGCACAGGAATACGAGCCCCAAGCATTCCAGTGGACCAAATAATCATAGACAAGCTCTTTGCATCAGTAGTCGTAGCGAGAGCGGCAGTAAGTGACTCTGCACACGCTGCTCTGATGACCTCCGGATCTGATGTGCGCAGAGTTGCCAACGCCCACAAGAAGCTCGCCGGGCTTCGCAAGTCATCTGATTCGATCATCACTTGCAAAGCTTGCTGTGTGTGACCTGAACTGTCCGCAGCAAGCAAAGTATAGTCATATGCAGCCAGTGATGGTCGCATCTCCGCGCGACTCATGGACTGAAGAATGCTGATGGCAAGGCTCCAGCTGTGGCTTAGTTGACATGCGTAGAGTACTGCACCAAATGCCTCATTGCCCGGCTGCAAGTCGCAGGCACGAGTCGCTCTCAGAACTTGAAGAGCAACAGGCCACTTGCTGCTACATCCGCATGCATGTACTGCAGAACCTTGCGTCATCAAATCGCACTGAAGCCGCTCGTCTTGAGCCTGCCACATGAACGACAATGCCATCTGCCATTCTGCGCACCTCGTCCAAGCCCGGATGGCAATATTGTACATGGAAATGCTGGCTGCAATGCTCCTGTCCCGACTCTCTTCCAGCAATGCAAGGCTGATTTTCCACTGAGAAGCCTCTATGCAAGCACTCATTGCTGCGGAGTAGGAAATGGAATCCAAAGGCTGACTTGATGACTGCAAATGCGCGAACATGTCTAAGGCAACCTGCCATCTTCTTCGCCCAACGGCCGACAGCGCTGCGTTGAAGGCAACACCATCTGCCACTGTAGCCTCCACCATGCTTCCTAGTAAGGCAAGCACCTGTTGCCATTGACCGGCCACTCCGCATGAAGAAATGGCCGCCGTGTACACCGAGCACATAGAGCTCTCGGAATCATCCTCCAAAGTGTCATGCCAAAGCTGCAGCAGCCACAAAGCCTGTTGCCAAGATTTATCGCCACAGGCACTGATCGCTGCAGTGCATGTACCACTGTTCCGCTCAGAGACAAAGGCAGACACCAACAACAAGGCTCGTCGCCAGTCTCCACCCTTTTCACAAGCGGAGATGGCAACGTTCAAGGCAGGTGCATCGACGTGCAATCGGCAATGTTGCATCTCCTCGAAAAGAGCCAATGCCTTGCGCCAGTGGCTAGCGTCCACGCATGCATGCAACACCGATGTATAAGCAACACGATCCACCTTGACTACCTGATCCTGCAGTTCAGCCAGCACCATCAACGCACTTTGCCATTGCACTGCCCTGCTGCAAGCGGAGAGTACCGGGGTGTGAGTAAGCAAGTTGCCAAACAAGCGCTGCAGCTTCAGATCTGCAAGCAAGCATAAGCCGTGCTGCCAAGGTGCTTCAGAGCACGCTGAGAGAGCTGCAACATAAGCCATCACGTCTACAGAGAGCTCAGCAGGAAGCTCTGCAAGCAGTGCCAGAGAAACCGGCCATGCTTTCTGACTGGCAGCTGCGGCAATTGCCGTTGTGTAGACCTTCAGGTCCAGTAAGTGCCTTGTTTTGGGGTCCCCGAGCAATGCTAGGGCGCATTGCCACTGAGAGCTGCTGCGGCAAGCCGACATTACCCAATTGCAATGAAGAGCCTCCCCTCTTACTTTCTGCTCGAACATTTTGGCAAACAGGCAGAGTCCCTCTTCCCACCGCCAGCTCTTCGCCATCGCCTGCAAGGACACTGAAAAGGTGTCTGCGTCAGCAAGCATCCCTAGATCGGGCATGCAAGCCAGGAAGCTCATAATCAAAGGCCACTTCGAGTGTCGAGCTGCAGCTGTGATGACTGTGTTGCCTGACACAGTGTTGGGCTGTATGCTGTTGGATGGCAGCTCCTTGAAGAGCAGCTGCAACACCTTTCTCCAGTCCCCGGATTTTTCCAAGGCATTCATCAGAATGTTGTAGCTAACCACCCCAGGCTCAACACGAAAATCTGACATGCTGGACAGAATAGATGCAGCCAATTCCCACTTGCCAGATGCGGCACATCCGTTCATCGCAACTCCAAACAACATCGCATCTGGAGGCAGCATTGAGGTTAAAGCCTGCTGAAGCGTATTCAGTGCAAGGGACCACCTGGTGGCTTCACAGCAAGCGCGAATGGTACTGGTGTAGCTTACGACAGTTGGCGAGGTCTCAAATACCGTCATATCGTGGAGAAGACTGAGAGCCTGTACCCACTGGCTGCGCCTCCCACAACTGTCTATTGCCACGTTGTAGTGTGGAACACTCATTTGCAACCTGTAGCTCTGCATGGCACCAAGCATGCGCAACACAACCGCAGGCTTGGCACGCATGTTCTTCAAGGCGCTGGTGGCAAGTTTTGGCTGATGTTTCCAGTCTTCCAGCAGCGGCTCCAGTAGACGTCCAACTTCTCGGGTGCTGTCCGAAGGCCGCAATCGCTGGCATAGTTTCTGTGCTTGGCCTGAGCATTGCTAGTATCATCTGCAGCAAGCGAAGTGGAAGTCATTGCGTGAGGACTCACAAGTGTGAAAGGGCCTGCTTGTGTCTTTGAGTCTTTGAATATCAAACCGGTTCACTGCGAAGCGATTGCTTAAGGCTCGGCTCCCCCATCAGTCCTACCCCTGTGTCAGAGAATGGCAAGAGGTAAGCAAGCTCCTACTGTATCGTTCAAGACATAGAGTTGCAGAAGTGGCAGAAGATTCAAATTTGGCTTTCGTGGCACTGGGCTACTCCAGTGCCCAAGACGTTCTGGCCGCATTGCCAGTTTGGAACAAAAATCATCTGGCAACTCACTAGTGCATGGCCGCAAAAGCAGAATGAACTCTTCAGCATCCAAACACGCTAAGGTCAGAATTACAGGATGGCACCTGTCTGCAAAAGCGAAGAGACAACGATTTAGCTGCAGACCGAGTCGCTGGGGCTGTAATTCAGTTGACGCTCAGTCATACTGCCATGGCAGGGAATGTAGACTTGTTTTGTCCTACTAATTGAGCCAGGCGCAACTGGCCAACGAAAGCCTAACGCACCATGTTTGCTGACTCCACTTACATCACTGTATCATGCTGAAATCAACTCAGCAAGCTACAAGCTCGTCGTGGGTCATGCCAATGCCGGAATCCTCGATGACGAACTTCCTGCGAAAGTCGACTCAGACAGCTAGCTTGACAGATCTGTCGCGGCTACTAGAACACTACGCAAGAGCTGGCCTGTCACTCTCGCTCACACTGAGGGTTACCTGAAGCCTCACACGATCTCAAATGTTTTTTTTTGAAAATCTGGCAGAAGACAGGCTGCCATCGTTTGACAGCGACACGCAGCTGCATGTCTTCATGCAACACATCTACAGGAGCAGCAGCTGGTTGCTACAGCTTCAGGGTGCTTGGCAGCAATGTGGCTTCAGACAGGCGAAGGCTCCAGCGGCGCGTCGGCATCGTTGACATCCTTGATCTGCTGCGTCCCCTGCCTTGGTGATGCATACATCCTCATGTATAGACCCAAGCCAGGAGTAATGAGTGTCTGGCAGAAATCGGAGCTTTTCACACGCATCTGATGCGTTAGAGATCAACTCTCTTATGAAAACCTGTCTGAAGGCCACATTTTACAGTTGAAACAAGTGACTGCCAAGAAGCATGTCATACCATGCTCACTTAATTACACCGCTGCTGGCCTCCTTGTCGGTGTACAGGGATTTGGCTACAATGTCCAGTAGTTTCTTTGTCTCCGCCTGACGACTACAGCCCTGCACTGCCTCTATCAGTGACCAGATCTCTACGTGAGGTACCTTGAACTCGTGGGTCTCTGTGGAGAACGGCCTGCTGGCACTTTCCACTGTCCATGGAAGTTGGTGACTTGTCAGGAAGCAGCTTGGAGCGCACAAGCCCAATAAGCCTTGACCAGCGAGGCACTCGGAGGGAGGCCGGGACCTGACTTGACGAGCAATGCCTTTGGTGAGGCTTCTTTCCGCTATTCGCCAGCAGGTGTCTGAGAGTGCCACCGACTGCAGAGACCCTGCGAGGGAGCTCCGGCACCTGCTCCGGTCTTGAGACTAGAGAGGAACCAGTGAAAGTTTGTTGGCGCCTTGCTCTTTCCCAGAGCTGGGGCAGCTCGCGGCTTGCGATGCACCTCCGCGCGCGCCTTAGCCACGAAAGCCGTCTGGGATCCTTTCCTATCCTCCTGACGCACAAGAAGACAACCAGAAGCAGAAGTTTTTGCTGGAGCGGGCGAAGCCGGTTTCGCTCCGGGCGAAGCCGGTTTCGCTCCAGACACAATCGAGGAAGTGCGTGAAACTTAACTTGCCAGTCAGGCAGAGAGACCAAGTAAACCAGGAATGGTAGGTTCAGAAAAGATCTCGTTGTCTGAGAATGCTGCAGCGCGTGACGCATCGTCTGCAAAATCCTACAGGTAGGAGTCATATCAAAGGTAGCGTGCAAGATGCATGCATTCCTTGGCGTCAGCCTAGTCAGCTTACCATCCACAAGTCCTGGTGAGGATCTGACGTTAAATGTGCCGGCCCCCTGGCACATCACGACAGTCAAGCTTGTGCTTACTGAATGCCTTCCTACCAAATTCCTAGGCCATGCGCTACAGCAGTCAGATGCGCAGACGGTGCACCATCTACTCCATACATTGCACTACATTGCCAGCGTATGCAGATGGAACACTGCTCCAGCCTATGCAAAACTGCCAGCCATGCAAGCTACAAAATTGGCTCAGAGCCGACAGAATTCCGATTGCGGCAAAGTGGATACGTGGAGTAAGGCAAGTACGAACATGCACGGTTCAGAGGCTTGCCAAAAAGTGTTGTTCCTCGCAATTGTTCAAGCAATACTCTCCGATGGTGAAACCATATCAACGCGAAATCAAGATCTGCAGTCGACCACTTGCTGGGCACGACTCTGAAAACTGCTACTGCGGTGGGCCTCTCATCTCAATCTCAGATGCCTGGAACACGCGGCAAACTGCAGCTCACCAAACATGAGGGGCCAGGCAGCTGAGGGCAGGGCTTGCTTTTGTGGTAGCACTGGAAGGTATATGCCATCCGGTAATGCGGATGTCGCGGATACCTGAAATCGTGCACTTGCACACTCAGCATTCGCTCGAAGGGAATCGTGTGGCGCACTGCTTCCCCTCCACCCACGGACGCAAGTATTCAGGAAACTGAGTCGACCTCCGCAGAAGTGATGTTCTGGCTTCCTTTATGTCTCTAGAGAACCCTGAAAGAAACAACCCCGGCACAACACGGGGCAGCACCATCGGGACCGAATCGGAGGATTTGTGAGCGCCTGCCGATTGCGGCTTTCTTGATGCCATTTATTTGCAGGAACGCTTCGGACTAGGCCTGCTTATGCCTCACATTGGCGCTGCAGTCCACCGCGAGAATTGGAATCTGAGCACCATGCGTGGAACGGTTCTTCATCAAATCCAATAGTAGCCAAAGTATTTGGGGGTTATACAAGAATAATGGAAAAGAACATGGAAACCACTCTACTATCATAAGATATGTAAATACAATACGCTATATTTTATTCATATATATATATACCCTATTATGATATGTGTACATGTATATAATATATATGTATATACATAGCCTACTAGTCTGTAATGGGATATATATATATATTATATGTATAGTGCTCGCTACGGCTCCGGCATGCCACCGGCGGACGACGTATCGACACTCGCTGCAGTGCAGCTTCAACACCTAAAAAGGCAACCACACTTATTAGTAATAGCAATGAAGAAACAGAAAACAATAATACTAATTAATAGTAGTGGTAATTGTAATAGTAATAAAAACGTTTCTCAGTAATAGCAATGAAGAAACAGAAAACAATAATACTAATTAATAGTAGTGGTAATTGTAATAATAATAATAACGCTTATTAGTAATAGCAATGAAGAAACAGAAAACAATAATACTAATTAATAGTAGTAGTAATTGTAATAGTAATAAAAAAGATCAGTAATAAGTTAAAAAAAAAAAAAAAGTATTAAAATAATAGTAATAGTAGTAACAGCAAAGCAAGTGCCAGGTCTGCGAGAAGAACAGAGGTCTGCACTCCACGGTTGCGATAAAAGCGCCGATCCTCTGAAAGATACGAAGAACATCGAAGCATGCAGCATGCTGCAGGAAATTTCTGGCATCCTGCATCTGAGGTCCCCAAAGCGGGGCGTTCGCTCCAGCGGGCAGACCTGACCAAGACGCTGTTCCTGTGAAGCTGTGAATACCTGCTGTTTCAGGCCATGGCCCTCAGAGAAAACAGTTAAGGCACCCGAGCTCATTCTTGACAGTCTGCAGCCTGCAAGCAACTTTTCCTCCAAGCTGAGCTGCCACCGCTCGCGCTGAGGCGAGGACGCAGTGCAGAGGTCAGCAGACCAGCCATCACGGCTGGCTTGTTGGCTCTTGTACACAAGCTGAAGCTCAAGTGGTCGAGTGAATTTGTCGCATCGGCACTGCGTTTGGGACTTCCATGTTTGTGAAGGGAAACGCTATGAAACAGCAGCGGAATTGTGCAGTTGCTGTCGCACATGCATCATGCGCTGCCTTACTCCACACAGGGGCGCCAAGGCCTCTTTCTTTGAGGCATTTGCGAAGGCATCTGGCTGCTAAAGCAAGACAAGGCTTGCCCAGGAACACAACAGCGGCTGTTGACCTTGCTGCCATCATCAAATCCAAAAGACTCTGGGCAAGCGCAGATGCAAGGTGAAACTGCACTTACGCGGAACTTCAAGCAAGCGAGGCAGTCATGTCTAACTGCTAGTTTTTCTCTAAGTACCAAGACGTGACTGTTCAAAGGCTGCCTCTTGATGAGTTCAGTGATCTCCGACTCATGCTGCTCTGGAGGCCTTGCAACAGGACATGGTCAGTGACAACATGTTCATTGATTGAATGACCTTTTGCGCATGATTGAGGATGTAAAGCTACAGCCTGTTCATCAGCTGTGTAAACGCTTCATGCAGGAAGCAGTGCAGCCTGCGGGCTTGCTGCGCTGAGCATCTTCCGAGACTTTCTGCCGCAGGTCCTCTGCAGTGTTCGAGGATGATAGCATGATTAAGCCCAACTTTCACACAGTGCCTCCACAAGGCCCGACTCCTCCAGAGCCTGCTTCGCCTGGCCAAGGAAGAGACGGACCCGGAAGTCATAAAGAGCTGATGACCAAAGACCGGCAGTGGCTCATGAATGTAACAAACGTGGCAGGATCCACCAGCAGAAACTTGGGCTCGCCAGTCTTTTCATCCTCAGTCTGCATCAGTATTCAAAGTGAAGTACTCAAGTCAAGTCCTCCTGCAGCACTCAACATGCCACGTTCAAAGAGGAAAAAATGGACACGGCCAGGATTGCTTGTACGGCAGAGTGGTGTTACATGGGCGCAATTGCGTGTCGTGATGCTGATGCAAGCGGAACTGCGTTCCCTCTCTCATCCGTTCTTTCCCCGCGCGTCGCCTTTTCCAAATCACGCGGGCTTGAACAGTCCAAGCTGCTTGACAACCAGCGCTCAAACACTGTAGAAACCTAGTCGCTGAGCTTCCAGCACCAGCTGCTGACACCACACCAGGCACCCTAGTTAAGGTAAAGCTGCGTGCGCGTGGTTTTGTATTCTGTTAAGGCGTTGCAAACTTCTTCTTGCAGTCTAGGTTGTAGAATTGCATCGTAGCCCCTCCAGCGGTTTTGCGTGCATATGGGCTTCAGTTTCACACTGTTCCAAGAAACCGCGCGTGACAGAGTTTGTTCTGGCTTTCCCAGTCAAGGGACCTGCTGCAATGAGAGGGACTTCGACTCTAAGACAAATTGTTGGCACAAGGACCGGGCCAACTCATACGTCAGAAGTCTCTCGAGCTCCTTCCGCCAGATGCAGCTGAAGCTTAGAAAACTCTGCGAAACCTGGTAGGATTCCCGCCTCTGCTGCAAACTGTTCCAGGAACTTTTCAAAGCCTTCACAACAAGTGGGCCAAAACCAGATGGATCTTGAGATCTTCACTTCTCTCAAGGTAGCGGCTCCAGTTGCAACTCCAACCCTGAGCCAGAAATATGCAGGAGGGTGCCTATGAAGCCTCCACCAATTCGGAAGACTGGCTTGTCGTTGGAAATCTTGCAAACAACCTCCAGACCACAAAAAAATTAGTGTAGGTAGGGCACATGAAAAATGGACTGGATGAAGATCTCGTTTGAAGGAAAGCTTCACGCAACTTTCAAACTGTCACTTGAAACTACCCCCGGCTTAGTTTAGTGGTGAGGTCGTTGACAACCAGGCCTGCCGACGACCGAAAAGATAGAGACCCTGTGCCAAGCGGAAGAAGGGAACCGCTGGCCTGCAACAAAGAGGCCATGAAGCAAACCGGGTAGCTGCACTGATCCGAAAACAGCGCCTGTAGCCATTAATCCACCTCGACAAAACCATGTCCGTGGCCTAAGCAGCTATGCAACTCAGCACATTGAGCTCCCGCGACACTCACACAGCGGCATTAGGAAGACAATTTTGCCACCGCATTGGCTCGATGTGCTTCCAATTATACGACAACAGCTAGCTGGAGATCAAGAGGATAAACCGTTCAACGAGATGGAAACAGCTCGCAATCTAGGTATATCTTGAGACTTGAAAATGCGAGCAGCAGGTGCAAATTCATTCTGCATCCGAGTAGCATCCGCTTTGACTGGAACATACCTTGATGAAAGCTCCTGGGCGTGGGTTGGGAGGAAAGAGCAAGGGTTCCCACAATGCCATGGCCGAAGCGAAACTTCTGCAGCAGAAACAAGAGCTCAACACAGCAGAAATTGTGTTTCTCTGGTGGTAGCGTGAGAAAAACAATACATGCATTACTACTCCCTCCGACAGCTTCGCGCAACAACGCCAACCAGCCTGCACACGTGGCTACATTATGGCAGATAAAGTTAACCGACATGCTCGCACCAGCCACTGCGAAGGCACGTGAAGAGCCCCACTTGCCAGAACCAGCAGGATCACAGGCACCGTTCCATCCCCAGGACCGCCTAATGCGGGGGACCCACGAGCTACCGAAAAAGCTGTGAAAATGATGCAAACATATGGCGAACCCCTCCTTTGTTGGGAGGGCTTTCGCCCAAAAACCCAATCCAACCCAAGCTTCCCAGATCCACCTAGTTCGGGATCATCAACGAAGCTCTCTCAAGAGGAGTGCTCGAGGCCAAATATCTGAAGTCAAGTCAAAATACCCAAGCCTGCAAGCACTGTAGATTCAGTCCTGTAGCCTGTACATCAGTAGCTTGATCTCGTTGTTACGATCCTGGCGATCAAAACATCATGCATAGTATGCACAAGAGCTACACTACACTTCACGCAACCACTCCTAGCATAGCTGCCTCAAGCATACCCTCGAGCTCCAAGTGGCGCTGCGACTGTTTGAAAACGTCCTCCTGGGCAGGCGTCAACAGGGCAGTCGCCCGTCTTAGGCAGGCAGTTCCGACGTAGCAAGGAGGAATGACTGAAATTCAATTAGGGTGCCATTTGCAAGGAAGCATAGGAGGTTCAGCCCCAGCGGTCCCCAAAAATGGTCTTGCATCCCGTCTGACACACTGCTCCATCCATTTCTATTCTTGCTCCGCACTCGTCTACTGGCCAGCGAACTCTCTCTTCTTCTTCTCACAGCTGCAGAGAGTTTGCTTTCTTTCTCTCATCTTTTCATATCCTTTCAAAAGCTGAGGTCAGGTGCCCGGAACTGCACAGTGGCGCGCTCGACTGCCTCATGCAGCTGGTTGCGCTCCCGCAGAGAGGAGCCCAGGTCCTCCAACCCAGTCGCGGGTCTCGCATTCCGCCAACTCCGGGCTCTCCAACGAACAAAGACGAGGCGCCAGGAAGAATGCGTTTGATGAGCAAGTCTGAAGACATGTGGTCAGAGGAGACCGGAAGCGCTTCAAAAGCGACGCGAAGTCCTCCTGAAGCTGGTGCAGCTGCCGAGCCAAGTCCTGCTTCGCGCAAGGTTAGGGAACCAGCAATCGACTTTTAGACGTCTTCATTTTCAACATCTGCATTGAAGTAATTTGAAGCCTGCACACACGAGGTGGACGCAAAGGCCTGCTCTCGCAAAAGCATAAGTGTAGTGTATGAGCCCTTCTCTTCATTAGCGGATCGTCCTCGGTCCGATTCGTGCTCTTCTTGGAGGCTTCCAGGGCCCTCTCAGTCTGCTCCTGGCCAGGGGATCCAAAAGCATCCCACTTTCAGAAGTAGCGGCGCCCACCGCAATGGAAAGCCAGTCAATCCCTCAGCTTTTAAGCCAGATCTTTTACAATACAAGTACCTCCTTTGCAGAAGCCATGTCCAAGACGCGCATTGACATGCTCTGACTCTACCCGCCAACCATGCAAGTCGCGCAAATCTAGTCAACTCTAGCTTGCATTCACTTCTTGCCAAAGGTCGAATAACAGCAGAATTGCCTTGAGCGTCTGGAGCTCCTGCACAGGCATAGTCTGTCAAAACATGAAGCGACCCACTGGTGGGAAATTTATCCTATCAGACCCCCATAACTTGCAGCAGTGGAGTTTTGTGGAAGGCCAACCAGCCTGTAAACTACCCCCCTCAACTTTTGGAAACCCAAGCTTCCTGGTAGTTAGTGGGGAGTACATATGATTTCTAAAGACTCCAAAAGAGACATGTGCCCTTGTTCCCTACTAGCCCTAGACCCTAAACCCTTAATAGTAGCTTCTATGTTATTCTCGATTTTCCCTTCTAAAATCCTATATAATCTTCCCTTACTCCCTCCTCACCTCCAGTAAGCAAATGCCCGCACAAAACCGCGGCCTGGCCTGAACTTGGCTTGAGGCTGAGGCCAACTTGCGTCGAATCCTCGGGCGGCAAGTTTAGGTGGGCATACAGAGTATATCGGGGCTATATAGGGGTTATATAACTGTTTGGACAGCGGAAAACAAAATGGAAGCTACTATTTAGGGTTTAATTTGACCTCTACGTAGTCGGGCATTGCATGTAAACATGGAGTATCACCCAAAACCGCTAAAACTCAGCTTTGGTTAGAAGAAAGGGAGTACTGACATTATGCTTAAAGTAGGTTCGTGACACATGACCCCTATATAGCCCGAAAACACCAGATATATAAATCCCAAACCCGAAATCCTAAACCCTGAACCCTGAATCCTAAGCCCTAAACCCCAAGCCCTAAGCCCTAAACCCCAAGCCCTAAATCCTAAACCCCAAGCCCTAAACCCTAAACTCCAGCCAAACTTTAGGTTCTGGCTCGGACATGTCAGCCAGCTTCGCCTCGTTGGCCTGGCCAAACAAAACTCAGATCACGTCCTCTTTCCTGATCCAACTCAGATCACGTCCCTTTCCATGATCCCTATCTATATCTATATTTATCTATCTAATCATATTTATAAACCCTACATAACCCTATGGTATCCCTATACTATATCACATTCTCCCTATATAACGATATTGTTAGGGGTTTTATAGGGTGGTAATAATTTAGGGTATAGGGTTTAGGGTAAGGGGTATTTAGGCCAAACCCTATGTAATTTTTTGGTATCCCTACATAACCCCGATGTATACCCTATTATAACAGAGTAGTTTCCACTTTCTTTTCCATAATCCCTATTATAACCCCTATATAACCCCTATATACCCGAAGGGAAGAACCGTTCATCCGAACAAAGAGGCCTCGATGGCGCTGCGCTGCGCCTCCACATGGCCGGACACCTGGCCAAGGCCACAGGGACTATATCGGAGTTATTATAGGGATAATGGAAAAGAAAACGGAAACTACTATATTATCATAGGTTATATGTTGGGGTTGTAATAGGGTATATACAAGGGTTATAAAAGGGATCATGGCAAAGAAAATGGAAACTAATATATCATAATAGGGTATATATTGGGGTTATAATAGGGTGTATATTGGGGTTAGCATGGGATATATAATGGGGTTATCACGGGGGAAAAATTGGGGTGATAATAAGTATACATTGGGATAAAAGTAGGGATATATGGGGATTATAAGGATAATGGGAAAGAAAACGGAAATTACTCCATATAGTAGGGTATATATCGGAGTTATTTAGGGATAGCCCGTGGTCGGGCTTGCAATGAGGGCGCTCAGCCTCGCGATCGACACGCTCTGTGACCTTGCGAGTCTCCTGCCAAATGGAGCAAGACCCCTTCGCACCAGAGATTGACGTCTGTGTCTGCAGGCTTCTCCAAGGCGCGGGAAGACATCGAAGACTACATTGAAGGCTGCTAGGTGCAAATGGCAAAACTGCGGTCTCTTCTGTGACTTTCACGGCGGCACTCAAAGTTCCTGATGGAGACTTCGCAGCTGTTCCCGCAAAGCCTCACGGTAAAATCAGGTTTTTTACAAAATCTCCAAGGGCATGTGACCCTTCAAAATCTGAGATGCTCACTTCATTTCGCTCGCTGAGCGATCGAAGCTCCTCCACCAGCACTAGGTAAGGCTCAAGTGAGCCTACCTTCTGGTCAACCCAACTTTGAGATTTGAGGCCCTGGCCTCACGGAGATCCTCCTGCGCCAGGGACTGGCCCCTCAGGTTCGAACAAAATTACTAACAGGCTAACAGGTATCCAAAAGTGCAGCTGCCGCAGCCGCAGCACAGCCGCAGCACAAGCGAAGCCTCTTAGCCCTCCATCCTTGCAAAAACTTAGCGTCGCCTGGCTTACTCTTCTAGGTTCCCACGCCGGAGCTCTTCCAGCTGTCTCTGTCCCCGGACGAGCTCCTCTCGTGACTACTCCGGTCTCACAAGCCACGATGGATTGACAAGGTTCATCCGCGTTGTGGCAGCAAAGGCAAACATAGCCAAAATTCCGAACTACGGCATGCGCGCACCAGCAGACATGGATGGATTTTTCCGGGCTCCTTCTTGGCTGCTGCCATCTCTGTCTCCATGGTATTGGAGCGGCCTGTGTGCGCATGACATCATCAAAGAGCTCTTCGAACGTTCACTTCTAGACTGCGAGCCTCTCTCTTCACTAAGCTCCTGTCGGGCCTACCCAGGCTCACCAAGCAGTCGTTCATGCGGAATCACATAGATTTGGGTGCTCGGAACGCCTTCTCGAGATCGAGTCTGAGACCTCTGACAAGAACACGATGCTCCTGAGGTTGCAGTCCAGCCACTGTTCTTTCGGCTTTCCACATCGCAAGCCACTGCATTTCGCAGCAGGAGATCCCCAAGCTTCTGACATCGAGTGTTGAGTGCAGCTTCTGGATCTCCTCGCCAACTTGAGCTGCTACTGCAAACCACTCCACTATCAACATGAGGACCTTTCCCATCACTCATGGAACCCGCGGTCCGTTTCGTTCAGCTTCTGGTCAAGCTCGGCTCTGTGCTGCCTCGCACCAAGCAAAGGGAACTTCTTAAATCCGGCAAGGAACAAGCCACCGGGATAATGCGTTCAATGCTGAACCTGCGTGACAAGTCATCCCTTACATTCTGATGTGCAGTACTTATGCAACGTGAGGTTTTAACTTGGTGCAGACCGCATGAGCGACGAACGCTTCTTACCCAACCCTCTGGACGATGCCTCTCTCGAGCCAGCAGAGACTGAAGCGAAGACACCTGCAGACCAAATTGAAAAGCTTGCGTTATGCTGGCGAAGCTCACAGCACCTACAGCATCTGTTCTGCCAAGTACTACGAGCCACATAAGCACAAGAGGTTGCGTCAAAAAGCTGCAAAACCTCCACAATCTATCAGAGATTTCTAGAAGTGGGCCTGCTTTCTCTTGAAACGCCCGGCCTCCGCCTGAAGTGTCTCTACGCGGCGCTGGGAGCCTTCGGCACGCTCCAAGGCCAGGCGCGTTTCCGCCTCCTCGTGACATCTTACATGTGGACACCCCAATGCACACACAACCATAGTAGGATGTACATATATATGTGTGTATATGTACATCCTGTTATTATATATATATGTTCTACTACACTACAATAGGATGATATATGAGCCATAGTCCAAACTCCTAGCATCCCCTTGAGAACCCCTATAGTAATCCCCTATATAACGCCCTTCAACTAGTTTAGACTATAGAACACATGCATGCGTTACTGCCAGCCTAGCTCAGTGCAACTAGACCTTACTGAACCCTACTAAACGAATGCGCCACCATTGTCTCTGCAGGGAGGCGAATGAGGATTCCGCAGTGCGCCTTGTCGCGCAATTGATCTTGCAGTTGAAGCACCTCAAGCTGCAAGGTCTCCTGTGCAGAAATGCATTGTCGCACAACAGCTTGCAAAATCAAGCTTGAGACTGGGGATCGTCAACTAATCTACAGATAGAGAATGGGAGAACAAAGCTAAGAGATGTCCTTGGCAAGAATTTCCCTCTCAGAGATTGCGCGAGCCTGGCCCAAGTTTGCCGGCACGCATGTTTCAAGCAACTTGCATGAAGTCACCGAGACCGATCCACAAACTACGTACAGGCAACTCTACGAGCTGCTGTTGCTGCCTTCTCGATCTCACGCCCGCGATCCTAACCATACATGCTCTGCAGGGGAGCTTCTTGCATTGCTTCTGAGATCTTCTGAAACTACCTAAGACTACGCAGGAAGTGCCTTCAGCCTTCGACGGGTTTTGCAACCTCTCACCAAGCACCGTGGTTAATCTTGGCTTTTGGTGGTTCAATGACCCGTTACTGTGCAGCTCAAAATAGCCCCATGTGCTGGCAACCGTGAAGATTGGAACCACGACACGTTCGCATAAATAAAGAACCCGGTGCCAGTCCTCCTTGAGCTGCCAGTTCTCCTCGCGCGCTTCAGAGAGTTCCTTGCTCTGCTCCTGGCGTGACCCGAGATCAGGGTTTGCTGCAGAGCTGCGGCTTCATTGCTGGCTTAGATTCTCAGGATAACATGTCGTGTTGCCTGCGAACAAAGTCCCTTCCGAGGAAGGTAATATCAACCAGGTACCCAGACTCGGAACCGTGTCATCTTGCCGGGGCTCATGCGCAAGTTATCGCATGTGATCGGCTTCAGTCTTCAACTTGACGCCAGCCCGCCTGCAACTGCTCCTGTAATCTTTGCCGCTGCTTCCGCAGGCCCTCCACTTCTGCCAAAGCCTTCTGAGCCTCCAGGGCTCTTAGCAGCTTCAAATGACGCACAATCGTCTCCCACATTCTAATTCTAAGCCTCTTCTTCGACAGCCTGCGCTGCGAGGCTCTTCTGGGACGCCTCTGACAGCCACTGGACAGTCAGTGCCCATCCTCCTGATCTGGAGACTGGGCTGCAGGCAGCAGAGACCTGCGCTTCCAGAAGCGAGAGGCGATGCTGAAGCGACTCCTGGCGCCGCAACTATTTGCTGTTGCATGCGCTCAGCTCCAGCTTCGAGAAAACCAAGAGGGCCTCGTGAGAGCGCCGCAGAGCAACCTGCCAAAGCAAAATGACGACCCCTTAGTCTCCTCTTGACTGCAACAATAAGGCCATTGCAAGCCCCTGCAAGCCAAGCTTCACACAAATTTCTGAGACGGCTTGATTTTGGTCAATCCCGCAGCTTGATGAAGTTTCAGAGGAAAGGCAGCTCACTGCTCGCCTCCTGTTCAAGCTCAGCAGCACGTTGCTGTGCAGTTGTCCGGGAGGTTGTCACCTGCAGATTCGACAAGCACGTCACAATGTACTGAGCAACAAGGCTGCACGTTCTGCGCGTGCACCTGCCTGTCGAAACAAAAAATCTGGAGGGCTGCTTCCCATGAGATCACAACAGTTGAGCTATGTCGCCTTTCACAAAAGCCTAGGTTTCTGGCACCTGTAGTGGATTTGCAAAGCTTGCGATCCCAGCCCATTTGAAAAAAAGAGCAGCCTCGCGCAGCGATTCGCGCTCCTGCTCGGCCTGCCAATGCCAAACATGCCGCCAAGCCTGCTGTGCTACTGCTGAGTCTGCTGAGTGTCCCGGTTGGGCCTCCATCTTGGCTCGGTCAGCCTCCTCACGGAGCTGGGCCACCAGATGCCCAGAGCGCCCCTGCTGCTCCTGACGTTTCAGTAATCCCAGGGACCAGGACAACATTGCAAGCTTTGTCAGTCCTCCAGAGCTGTTGACAATGCCAGGATGCGGGCTTCCTGGTCATCATAGAGCCTTGCATTCGCAATCCGGGCATGTAGTGTCAACATTTGCATACCATGGCGCTTTGTGACAAGCGCTCGAGGAAGCTGGCCTCTGCTTTTGCTCCAGAGCCGCAATGGCCCGCTCGTAGGGCTCCAGCCGAAGCTTGAAGGCCTCCTCCTTTCAGGGCACAACCTGATTTAAGAAAGTCTTGCCTAAGAAGGCACGCAACGTTAGATCATGGCAGCGGCGGGCCGATTAGAGTCCAATCTAAGCTCCAGAGACTCTAGTTAGTTGGCAGGCTTAGGCATCAGCAGGAACGTGTTGCTTGATTATGCGTCTACTCTCCATGAAGATTCGAAAATACCTTGCCTGGGCACGCTGCTTCTCTTCCTTCTCCTCGGGGCTGATCCCGTTGCTGAGCTCGGGCAATGGCGCGGCAGCCACGGCCTCCTTTGCAGTGGAAAACATCCCTCACGAGCCCGCTAAGCCAAATTGCACAGCAGGCCTGTACTCTTGCCGACTGTTGTGGCGTGTGGTTGCCGACGCCTGACTCCCACATGCCACATGCTATAAGGCTTTGAGGTCTGCAGAGGCTTTTGGCCTGGAGGCCGTCGTGGGCCGAGCGCCCCAGCAGCACGCAGTGGCCGGAGGTCGCCCGAGCGCTCACCGGAACGCTCGCCGGAGCGCCCGGCTCCGCGCCGGGACCTGGCTCTCGAGAGTTTGGGGGGTCAGCCAGGTCAGCCCTTCAGCAGCGTAAAGGCCCGTGCCCTGAGCCAGAGCCAGCTGAGCCGGATGTTGCTGCGGGCCTCGAAGCACCTCCAAGCAACAAGATCGTGCTGTCATGTAGGCTATTTGGCGTGCCCAAGCAAACTTTTTAGGGCCAGGATGCAGGCTGAGGCAGGTAGAATTTGGAGTCTAAACACGATGCATGCAAACTCCCACTCATACTTCAAAGTCCTGGCCTGTGCTGGGGGCGCTTGCAGAGTGGCCCGAAAGCGGATTGCCACCTGCACATCTGAAACCCGACGTTGCAGTCTGCAGACAATGCCCAACAATCTGTCCCTGAACACATATCTTAATGAACCTTCAGATACGATACGATTGTCTAGGAAGCTCTTCTGATCATTCCCGCGGAAGGCAGGTGTGGGTCCACGCCGGGAGCCCAAATTCCCACATGTGTTAGAGACTAAGCAAGCCTGGCAAGCTACAAGCTAGCTATGGCAAGACCATCTGAATAGCGCACCTGGAGCCTGCTCAAGGACCTGCACGAAAAATGGACTCTCACACCTTCTCGCAACTGCTGAACCTGCATGACTTAGCCATGCCTTCGCTTCCAATGCAGCATTCAGTTGCTGAAGTGCTCTCAGGAGGAAATCCTGCAAAACAAACATGTGTTGCTGCTATCAGTCAGAAGCTGCCTGTGTCGCAGAGGCCACAAGAAGTCCTGTGCTCGCACGTCCCGGCCTTGCTTAGTTTCTTGTTCAGCCGCCTGGCCAGAAAGCTGAATCCACCTTTAGACATGATGGGGGCCTCCAAAAATTTTGGGGGATGATAGTATATGTGAGACATTGGGGTATATGAGAGGGACTCATATGCATGGAAACTCCCACGTCTTATCAAGCTAAAAAGGAACACACAAGTAGATGAAATGAAATGTGCGTGAACTAACTGAGAATTGAAGCCACGCCTCTGGAGGCACGCTTTGCAGCAGCAGATGCATCTTTGGCGTCTCCTCTCGAATAGCGGAGAATGGCTGGACAGCCTATGTCTTCAGGTCAAATTGAAACCTCCGGAGGTTTTTCATCCATGTCATTGCTCCCGTCATCCATGGCATACCACACATCCCACACCTGCATCGTCACTGAAGATGTCGTAGGCATGTTCAGTACATGGTGGTTTCACCACGCCTCTAAGGGAACCAGCTCGCTGACTGGCACCACCACAAGGCCTGTACGACTTCAGGCTGGCAGGTCTTTTTGAGTGTAGGTATTGCCTTTTTTCGCTGCTCTCAACTCCCACACTGATTGATTGAAACTCTGCAGCACCCACCTACGGAGTTGCCCACGGAATCGCGAGCATGGACATGAATCACAGGCTCGGTGCCACCCATCTTGGTTGCGGGCCAGAATGCGCGCCAACAAAAAGAATATGAAACAGCCTAAGGTACCTGCACTATGCGAACCGGTTCACTGTCTATCCAAGGGCCTTGCTGGCAGTAAGATATTCTCACCTTCCAGAGTGGACGGAACCTCAAACGGACACATTTGATTTTTCTGCACCTGTAGGTAGACCTCGCCTGCGTGAACTTCCAGGAACACTCGCATGGTCGATAGTGTCAAATTTGTTAACGTGTATATATATATATATGTATATAGCCTCATGCTTCTTCAGCGCTGAACTGCTGAGGAAGGAACGGGACACCGCGCAGTAGCATCCGCCAGCGTAAGCTGATTTGCACAGCAGACGGGAGACATGTTTTTCGTAGTAGACTAGGGGAAATTATGAAAATTTCTGGCAGCACCCATGCTTGCTTTGCACGATACTACTGTATACAAAGGTTGCAAGTTACACCTAGGCCCATGAGCCTCGCAGGACACATCACTCAGGTCTCGCCCGTGGACTACCTCAAGCACATGGACCAGCACATACCTGGCAGTCCCATGCAGCAAATCAGATTCAATCATATATCTTGCCAATCTTGTCTGCAAGAAGTTGCAAGGCTCACCCAGCTACACTCTCGCTCACCGCGGCCATTGCAGGTTAAGGCTAAAGTGGCAATCTACATGCCTCTGGCCAAGCTGCAAGTCTTTCCTAGCCGTTCATGCATTCCAGCTAAGAAGGTTGTGGGTAGTAAGCTACTGGCTGAAATTTGCTTCAACTCTGATTATAGGTTTCCAGTCCATGCTTCAAGCAACCGTCCAGGGAAGCCAAACAGGAAAAATGATAAAAACTAAATCGTAGATTGGATACACAAAACCTGCCCTGATTTGGAAAGCTGCTTACTTGAACAACGTCAACTTGAAAGTACTCCTCATTGTGCTGCATACTTAAGTGCAACGATTGCCTTCCAAATGGCAATGTTGGTCCAACCAGGTGTCAGATCTGCAGAAGCCAAGGCTGCAAAGTGTTCAAGAGTCAGGCAGTTGCCAGCTTTTCCACTTTTCACGTCCAGGCAGACTGGCTCCAAGCGGCTGTGAACCGCATCTTCAAAGCTAGCTCTGCTTCTGAGGCCTAATGATTAACGCCAGTCGTGGCATGCTGTCAACTGCGCACCGAGACGTGCAACAGACCTCTATATGTTATTATATATTATAGTATATTATGGATGAGCTGGAGATGAGCCAACAGTCAATGAGCTATTTTTTAGCCTTTTAGGGTCCCGAATCGTCCCAGGGGCCAACGATGGAAAATCACGAAAACTGATCGTGCAAGCGGAGCGCAGCTTTCCAGCTGACATAACTTCTTGCCTACCTGCTATGCGACGCCATGTCAGATATACAGCATGTGATCCCCAAGAATAAGTCGAAGCATGTGGAAGCAAAGCTAGCTAGCCGCAGTTCAGACCTGAGTTGCTGTCAGGAGAGAGAAAGAAAGAAAGAGAGAGAGAGAGAGAGAGAGCGAGAAAAAGAGGAACACGCACAGTGTAAGTTCCTGTGCAAGCGGTCTCGTGAGAGCTTTGAGTGACTGGCATTCGTCAGGGGGTTGGGGCTTCGTAAGGGTACTGATTGCAAGGGCGACGGAGTATCACATCTGTGGCATTACAGAACGAAGACGCGGATCCCAGTACAAGCCACCAAGCAGGACCTTGCTTCCACAAGCTCTGAGCTGCAGAGCTCGAAACTTGCCCGAAGTCAACACAATGGAGCCCGCAGACTTGGAACCCCTTTCAAGCCAAACCCAAGCTGGGTGAAAGCTGCACAGCTGCACGGCTGCACATCATGCTTTGCACAGTCAAGGCGGACATTTAGCGCCTTTTTTCTCAACCAGCCAAGGACAAAAATTTCCGGCTGGGAGATGCTGCAAATTCGGCTGGGCCCAGCTCGCAGCATTGAAAATGTTTCTTTCCAGAAGCTGGCCACCCGCACAAGGATACCAAATCCTCCTGAAGTCACACTGGTTACTTTGGGGGCGAGCTTTGCAAAAGCATGTAGGACTGACCACGCTCACTTGATGAGCCGTCTGAGCTGGAAAACGATTTCGCCTCACCTTCGCCGCTCACTGTAACTTTGAGCTCAAACAGATGTCCGCTCTTTTTAGTGGGGGGAAAATGGAGACTAATACATACTATGATACATTCCATTGCTGTTTCCATTCTCACGGACAAGAAAGTGGTGCCCGGGTGTCACGTAGACTTTCCCGATGTCTAAGTTTCTGATTTCTCTTCGTTTGTCCACGGGAAGAAAACATGCCGGAACAGGAGTCAAGCACCCCAGCCAAATGCATTCATGGTAAATTTTATGAGAAAGCTATCAACAGCAGCAAGCACATGCCAATCAGTCAGAATGTTGCTGAAGCAGGTCAAGACGTTTCTAAGTAAAGACGATTAAGAATTGGGGGAACCCAATCCTTAACAGTAGATTAAACCACCTGTTCCGGAATGAGCAACCCATCAAAAGGAGATCACGGCATCTGCACGGTCCAGATCTGTAGAAGAGAGGCACCATGTGCTGCGTTGATATCAGGACCAGAGTTCTAGATTGGGTGAATTTATGTAAGGGTGTAGATAAGGGTCTTGCAAGCAGGGTTTCTTGGAATGCGGTACACAAGGCTTATGCACGGCCTTTCCTGGAAACCCCCAACTTGAAGTTGGCTCACACTGAGCCCTGCAATCACAGACTCTCTCAACCCTTCCCACATGTTCAGGAAGCAATGGAGTTCTGATCTCAGCATGTGACAAGTACACGGGGAGCCTCATGCTTGTGCGCATTCACCTGCATGTTACATTGACAACTCTGTGGTTTCGACCCTGCTGGCAGTTTCTCAAAACCATTCATGAAGTAGGATGATTAGATCTACCCCAATAAACCCCATCCTGCCAGTGCTTTCCCACACGTCCTGCTAAGTACACCACTGCAAACGTCCCGTTACTACCCCGCCTGGAGGTGTGGTCTGCGGTCCGCATGAAGAGTGAGGACACCTGAGGAAAGATCTTTGGGCCCATCTGGCCAGCCCCTCCACACTGCCAGAATATGCTAGAGTGGTTGCCATATCGACCTCTCCCAAATCCACTTCTGCAACATGCATGAGAACTCCGCAATGGTAAGGCAAAAGCGGCCAGGGCGGTGAAGGCGCCGGCGACGAAGCGCTTCTGGTCACACAGGGCACGAAGAAGAAACTGCTGGCCATGTCATCCAGGAACTCTGGTCTGGCTAGGGCAGAGTCATGAACTCTTCCTTATTTATAAAACGGAAAGGAAAATCGGGTAAGAAATATACGTTACCCTGCAGTTGCCACTTGTTTGTCCATCGGACATCGAGAAGAACACAAAAACCACAAAGTGCAGAACAACAGCCCAGCACATTTGTTCTGCCTGCATCTGCTTGCTGCTCCAGGATTCTGACCGCTTCTGAGTCCTGGCTCGCCGCCACTCAGAGAACTTTGCCACAACTTGGCCCCAGCCGCAACAGGACGGAGAGGACAAGACACTGGAAGCTAGCAAATTACATGGTACTTTCCATTGCCTTTCTCCCCTAGAAAGAACATGGAAGTTACTAACCGTAATCGCGGTAAACACCATGGCATCTCGTACATGATTTGGTACTTGTATGTACTTGTAGCTTCCATCTTAATGACACAGAAGATGAAAGCTAGAGGGAGCCTTTCACACTGCAGAGCTGCTTATGCACTCGCTTCCAAGGTCAGGAGATCTGAAACTCCAAATCCATAAGCTGAAAACCCTGGTGTCCTTTCCAGGATGCGTTGGCAGGCCTTTTCAAGCCGCTTGCCAATTGCTCCGGCAGCTCCCACGCAGTTGCCTTTCCTGTTGGGGGAAGAGGAAGTCATCCATGACAGAAACAGTCCCGGCAGAGCACCGTGACTCTACAACTCTGAGAGGCTGGCGACACGGAGGAGAGGATTTCTTCAGCAAAAGATCTGAACCAGAAGTGGACCTCGGCTTTGGTGTCGGGTAGAGCACCAAGTTGTGCAATGGGCTGACATTTCAGTTTTCGATCGGGATTCGTCGCAAGCTTCTCCTGCTCGTCTTCCAAATTCAGTCACTGAGAGCTGCACAGCATCAGGACCATCGCAACATGCAACGATGAGTCGAGCAGTCAGCCCCTTGCGGATCTTGACAACGCCGGTGAACCTCTGCAATGTTGGCAATGCTGAATGAGGTGCAGAATCATGACCCTCAGAAGCTAGGTGACCAGCACCCGAGGGTTGTCGAAACACTCGGCTAAGGTTGCAATCGCCATCACCTTGTAGAGTAGCAAGATTTAGCAAGCTGATGCGACATGAAGATTTGCTCTCGAAAATTGCCTGCGGGATTGCGCAAAAGCGGTAGATGGATGGAGTCTTGACCTTTGCAGCATCGAGCAGCTTCGAGTGCTCTTTGACCAGGTCTACGGATTCCAAACCCTCTGCAGGCAAGCAGCACGTTCCAGGTACCTGCCATGATGAGACCAGCTGTCATGTGCTTTCGATGCAGCGTGTTGCAGGGCACTCCAGCGAGTCTGGCACCAGCTCCAATGCATCTGCGACCAAGTCATTCAGGCAGAGAAGAGCCTGACCAGGAACTGTTCGGGAAGAGTGTGAGCCTGCTCTCACGGGTAGCATTGTCACACAAGCACAGGACAGAAGTTGAAGCCTGCTCCCCCACACCCTTGGCAAGATTATCACTGCCAGCTTTCACTGCAAGGCGCGTTCCTGGAGCCAATCAGGCTGGCACTCCAAGAGATCCAACGGCCGAGCCTGCTCCGTGGGCCGTGGGCAGAGCGAACTCTCCCAAGTCGTTAGAACAAGCGTAGCTTTTCCACACCTTTGCTGTCACCAGCCACAGTGCGCTACATAGGCATCCCTGCGGTCGCTGCCAGGCTTTCCAGGACAGCTGAGATCGAAGCTGTTTGAGGCCAGAAGGCACGCCCATCTACCTGGCCAAGCGCAGCGTGTTTGTGACAGCCTGCGCCCTGCAGTCCCCCATCACTGGGGCTAGAACATAGTCTTCCAAGTAGTCGCGGATGATGTTCGTCTTCTGCAGGAAGAGGCCCATGGAGTTGGCCAGCCCTGGCAAGGTGACCGCAGCAGCGCACAGCAGTGCACAGCAGCTCTTCATCTTCCCTTTTGCGGTTTCCGCATCTCACTCTTCTTTACGTTTCAGTGCTCTGAGAGCTGAGCCCAGGTTGGCGGGCTCCTTCTTCGGGTCAGCCTCGCATGTTTTGGGGCTTGAGACTTCAGAGTACCAGGAGGTGCATCACTCGCAAGGAAGCGACGAAAGCAGCAGCTTTGCAACATTATGGTTCTCTTCTGCTGCTGCAGTACCACAAGCAGCCATGGCAAAGATCACACTGACAACAGTGGAATAAGCGTTATGACCATTGTAGTGATGGCTCTAGCATGCATGCCCAAATCTGACATCGGCGTGAAGCGAACTCAAGCTCAGCATGTGGCACAGAAGGGCCAGGTGCGCTCACCTTTCAGCAAACTGGGGCTGCCTGTGAATCAACAGCTGCACTTTGCTTTATTTGCCTGTGAGGAGGGCGCTTGCTTTGCTCTGAGTGTATTCCGTATAAATTTGCTGATCCGGCCTTGTCCTGCAAGCTCAGACCCTTCCTCAGCGACACAGAGCACTACCTTGCTGATTCGAAGTGTACTACTTCAACGCAACATGCGGCCTATATTGCCTTCGAGAATCAAGTCCGCTCGTCACAAATATCCTCGTCAAGCCTTCCCCAACCAGGCCGGCAACCATGTGGCAATAGCCTGGCACCATACCGCAGCAAGCTGTTATGAGGCTTTCATTGCTGGCAACAAAACAATAAGCTTGCACAAACTGTCGGCGCTACGGTCATATGCCGCTTGGTCCACAGTTCCCTGTGCCAGATCTGCGGAGACCTTGGTGTTCAATCAGTATGCTTGTTGACAACCTTCGTCCTGGAAGAGCAGAGGTGCACAGAGCGCTTAGCCCCACACGTACTCAGCCATGCCGGCCCCCATCTTGTCAGTAATGTCCTTGATTACTTCCTTACTGCCTGGGAGCAGAGCAAGAACACTTGGCTTCTTCGTCGCATCCCCTTCCAACATCAATGTTGCACATCCGGCGTTTGTCCATGCTGTTTGATTCTTGACAAACCCGGATCGCTTCTGGCAAACTGTCTTGCACATCAAATAAGACCTTGCAGCGACATGAATTTTTCGGCTGTCAGTCACCGCATGCAGCGCACGCCTGCCGGCAGTTTGGCAAAGACGCGGGCCTTAGATGTTGGCCCACTGCTGGACTTGTCAGCACAACTGCGTTCTTTTTTCACGACATCTCTGAATTCCTGGTCCTTGCAAAGTTTAGCAACACGCTTCGGGATTTCGCTGAAGTCTGACATTTAGGCAGACCCTGGCAGCTCTTCCTTGACCACAAGTCAAAAGATTAACCAGCCAGGATGATCTGTTGAAAGCAGCAAGAGGCAGATGAGACGTGCAGCATTCAACTGTGATGCCTAGCCTTAAGCAGCTGGGCAGCACCTTGTACCAAATGCTGTCACAAACAAAACTCTGCCGGGTTTGAAGCAAGGCCCATCAAGTGTCTGGCCACACGCCCGAAGTTCTCAACAAGCAAGCGCTCGTCCGCGGCGCCGACGCCTCTGCTGCAGCAGCAGTACATGAAAGTTGGTGGGGGCTGACGGAGGAGTCTAGATGAACGTGGCACAAACTACGACAAAAAGTTATGCTTCTAGCGCCGAGTAAGGCCAGTGTTGGCAGCAAGTCTAACACAACGCTTGGGTCAATCCGGTCATCATGCCATGGTTAGCAAGCATAATTACCTCTGTGCAACAAAACACGCCCCCTTGGGGATGTGGAGCTGTGGTATATGAAGCTACCGTGCGCAATGTGATAGAGCTGGGGAGACTATGTGGCTCGGAATATTGCTGGAGGCTGCCACTGCTGCATGGTTCTGCACAGAAATCATGCCTATTCACTCCCTGGCCTTTGATGCTGCAGTTGACATCAGTCAGCCTGACATGGCCACAGGCCATAAACTCCACCCAACACCAAGCAGGGCAATTAGGACGCTTTGGCACCTCCTCTCGCCAAAGTGAACAAGCTCCTCCTGCTTTTCTGCTTCTCGGCCTACGCGACAGCACTGGCCTATGACCTGGTGCCTCCAACACCTCTTTGCACGAAGGCAAATCTGGAAGATATATGTGTTGCAAATGGCCTTTGTATGCCTCCATGTCATCTTCAACAGTGTCTAAGGCCCGGAGAGCCTGGAGGCTCCCGCTGCTCATGGAAGCATGGTGCTAGCCATCTGGAATTGAGGCAGGGTCCAGGTAGAACACACAAATGTCGATACCTCATGTACACAGCTTAGCATTGCAGCAGGTACCCATCACACAAGGGCCGCCACCTAATTGTGTCGGCAGCTGACGGATGACAGCAGCAAAAGACCTCGACACCTGCGTCATGGGCAGTTCCAGAAACCGTAGATCTAGCGTGGTTGATGGCCACCTTTCCGAGCATGTCATCACAGAACTCAACATCGGGGTCCTGCTGATCCTGTCCAGCCCAAGCCGTTCCCTCGGTTCAATCATGTGCAAGTCCCGCCTTGAGGTTATTCTCCAGAAGCCCAGTGCATCTGCAAGGATTCTGACCCGCAAGTGCACTTGCAGAGTACATGAACACTGCCAAGCCCCGCACTTCAAACGTAAGGCAGAGACGATCTCAAGAGGCCTGCATAATGCAGGTAACCTACAAGTAACACCTGTCAGAATACTTTCACAGATAGCGCCTCATGAGTTGGTCCAGCTTGGGGTTCTTGTGCGTCGGAACCTGCTGGTTGCGGGCGGCTCGTGGCAAACACTCAGCTGTAGCCCAGGCCTTGCCGTAACCCCCTTGCTTGACATCGCCTGCTTGCAGGTTACAAAGGCCACATCAACATGGCAGAGAAACTTCACGACTCTGAACGCACGAGCCTGCAGATGATCCAACTTCTGCCCTCCCTCTGCCAACGAAGCCTACGATGCCTCGGGTCTGATCGTGTGGTGCAACACGATCGATTTAATGGGTTGGTGGCTAAGGGGGATGGGGGCTGCGGGCACTTCTATGAGCTTAAGAGTCGGTCAGCACGTGCCACGGTACTACTCAACGGGATTGTTCCCGAACTGAGCAGTTCTTGCACTTCTCTCCTGAGACCAGTTCGGTCTTCATGCTCTGCTTCCAACATGGCCTTGCGCCTCTGCACCTTGGCAGAATCTGCTAAATCGTCTCAGCTACTTGTCCATGTGTTGAAGTGGAAGGTGTCTGATCTGCAGCTCTGGGAGGCTCTTGGTCAGATGAGCCCAACGGTGTCGAGAAAGCAGCAAAGGTGAGATCCTAAGCATACGGCTTCGCCACCAGCCTTCACAGCTGCCGCCTCGACCTACTCATGGCAAAAACAATCAAAAGTTCTTCTATGTGTCCACCAAACAATCTGAACGCAAGACTTGTGCATACATGAGTAGGTAAGAAGTTTCGCACAAACATCCAACCTCGGCCACTTTGTCCAACCAAGGCTTTGCTTTGCCAAGCCCGCCGTGGAACTCCTCACGGCTAACACACTACTGCTGGAAAACAGCAATTCCTCACAAACCCCGTTCCGCGTGACTTGTTTGACAGGCTGATTGACAGCACAAGACACCTTCGCGCATAAAAAAGACTGACCAAGCACGCGAATCTTTCGTGGAAGTCCAGCGCAGTGTCGAACCGATGGATCGAGGAAACATCAACGTACCTGGGCGGCCAGCAACCAGCACATTTCTCCAGAAAGCGATTCTCCTGAAAATCGGATAACTCTCTGCGATCCAGGTCGAAGCTGGGCCAGCGGCTTGTCCGTGGTGAGCGCAGCGTCCAAGTCCTGCAAAAAGAGACAGCAATGCTCTCCAGCTAAGATGCCGAAGACATCCTTCCACCATGCATCCAATAGTCGCTCTGTGATGATCCGGAACCTCAGCTCAAACCCGCCCAACCGCTCTGAATGGCATGAAAAACAAACTCCATCGGCTTTGATGTTGAGCAGGGCACCAGGGCGACCACAAGGGCATGTCACCAGAACCTTGCATGGCCTGACAATAATAATCAGAGTAAGAAAAATAACAAGAATAGAGGTAGCAATAATAAGATTAACGGCAGCTAAAATAAGTTCACCTTTCCTGTCAAGCATCCTACCTCCTTCAAGTCCGTTTGCGACAGCCAACGCGTGGCCTGCCAAGACTATGAGACATAAAGCCACAAATTGCAACCATCCTCTAACTCTCCACAACCACACTTTGCTCGGCCTGTACCTCTTCTGGATTTGGTTTCAATGTCAGCTTCTCGCCAGGACTCAGCCGGTACAACCTGAGCACAACACCCTGATTCTGCAGCGATTTCTGAAAAGCCGTGCCATTTGACTCATCAAACTTCCATCTCCAAACTCCAGGTGCTGGACAGGATGTGGTCTATCTCATGTTCTCCCCAGACTGCCTCTCTCACTAGGTATCCATACTTCGACAACATGTTCACAATTACGGTGGCGCAACCTCGTCACCGTGTGTTCTGACATCGACAGCCCAATAGTGAACGCCTCAACATCTGACCAGTTGTGTTGAGAGAAGTCTCTTGCGGTCTGGCAAGCAAGACTGAGAGATCAGCGAGTGAGAAACTTGAAACGTGCAGGGTCCAATTCAGCCTCGACCGGTTTGTGGAAAAATTGTTTCACGGGTACCTGAAAGCTCTTCAGCAGGCATATCTGAGGGATTGACTGATGGAATCCCCAGCTCGTGGCCCAGCTTGCGAACTGCTGCAGCCTGTCAGGACTCCAACCTATTCCTACCAGACAAACGTGACGGGGTGATCTGAATGCAAGATTGTTGCCTTGACACCCTTCGGGTCACCTGACGCAATGGCCTCAGGCCTCCAGCTCCGTGAGCACGGATTGCATTGACAGGCCAGAACCGGGTTGGGACCCTCCACACACATATCTCTAAGGCGATGGCTGGTCCACTTCGCATGGTTTCATTCCGTACAGAGGATGGCTGCAACCTTCCCAGAACCAGGAATACAGCCCGTGCGGAGTAAATAAAACCAGTCGCCCCTCTTGGCCGCAGACATGTGTTGGTCCAAACCAAAGGGAAGGTAATTTTGCTTTCTGCCCTTTGTTGAAGCCTGGACTGGCCGCAGCGCAAACAACCAGGTGAAAGGAGATGCCGTGCATCGCCCACACATTCCATCTTCTGGATTGTACCCAAGGCCACCGCAGCAATCTGTTGTCACTATCGAAGAGCAGCACCGAGAAGGCCCTGTGCCTATAGCATAAGTTGTGCAAAAGACTAAAAAAGGTTGGTCCAAGCTGGTTGCTGCGTGAGCATGCATCGAGGAAACCTGGGCTCCCGGCAGCAATCCTCGTGGCTGGCCAGGGGCAAACTTGTGACAGTTGTATTTGTTGTTGTGACCAATGACCTCGCATGACAATCCTGTTCTATTTTCCCTGACAAGCTGTTAGCATCTGCAAGGCAAAAGAAAATACCAACCTCATCCATGTAGTTGACCAAAATGCACTCATCTTTCATCATCAACTCATCCTGACTCGCCAGCATATCAGTAGGCATGTCGCACGTTCTTGGCATGATAAAATACAAATCTGAAAGAGTCACACCGCCATGCCTGCGTTTTTCCTTCTCCGGACCAAACTGTGCTTCCATCGTTCTCGTGCTTCCCATTGGATGACATTGGCGCTTCTAATCAAAAGTGTGCTGCAAATACACGACAGCCGTCTAAGGAAAAAAACTCAAAAGGCTGAACATTATGAACTTTGTCTAACAAACCCTGCCATGTCTATCAGCAGAAAATGCGCTCGAGCAATCAAATCCATGCAAGCCAACCGACACTGGCAGCAGAACCGCTTCACGTAAATGAAACTTGACCATGCCTGATCCTGGATTGCACCTTACCACAGGCAAGATTTGAGCAAATGCTGCGACATGAAGAGCACGAGAAGAGACGCCCACACTTGCCGCTGAGGCCTCCCCACTGAGCGCAGCAGCAGCAACAGCAGCAGCAACAACGACAACAACAAGAAGAACAAGTTTTTCAGGTGCCTGCTGCACAAGCGCACTACTTCCAGGGTATTGAGCTTCGCTGATGCTCGCGATGCGATAAGCAGTCTTCCATCAGAGGTTGCAGGTTGCAGGGTTAACAAAAGCGATGCTGTAGAATTGTGTTGTTTGCAGCCCGTAGCACCAGGGAGCCATGATGACAGGACACCGCCATGACTCTGGGTGCAAACCAACCAAGCTTGAGATCTATACTCCTGAGCCTCCCAAAATCGTAATCTTGGTCAGCAGCCTTCTAAGACTGCAGAACCGCATGATCCGCATGTGCAACTTGGCTGCCAAGGTGTAAAACCTGCACTGCCCAACATGGTCAAGCACGCTCCGCAGGAAGGCACAGGGTTCTTGACATGAGTGCGGAATGCGATACAGTCTTACCAAAGGGCTGATGCTCAATAGAAGTGCGGGAGTATTACTGCAGCTCATATATGATTGGAACAAGTTTAGCTATTCAGCTCCTCGGCCTTTGGCCACAACTGTGTCGACACCAAACCATGAGCAGCCACACAGCTGCCGAAACGACTGCCACCGCTGCAGCCGCCAACACTGCCATCACCAACCCTGCCACCAACAACACCATCAGCAACACACTGCCTAGTCTACTCTGAGTGATCCCGGCCCCTCTTTTCGTGGGCAATTTCCGCGCCTTTGATCTTGCGCATCGCTGGAGCTGCCCTGTGTGTGAGCTGAGCTCATGTCCGCTTGAAATCCAACCACAACCACTGGTGACAAAGATTACGGACTCAAATCCCAAAGCCTTTGTGTTGCCATAACATGCCAAAATTACAAACAGCGCACATGAGTAGACATCCTCTTCTTGCCTGGATGGCAGGTGGCACCCCGCAAGGAACCACGTGAGAATCATTTGTCAGGCAAAGGACCGCTGCATCTAATCCAGGAATTTCCAGCAGCGACATCTTTGGCTTATGACATGCTTGTAGCAGAGCTTCTTCTTGCTTACACTTCCGCAGCATGAGTCCCATGCTGCGTTTCTGAATGTGACACATCGGTGAGGAATCTGTAGAAAAGCTCTCTGAATCCAGAAATGCAATTGTTGTGGTAACATGCGGAGATGTCGCAGTGATTGTCGACAATCAGCTCTTTTGCTAATGCTGACATAGCTTAGGTGCTGCCTCTAGCAGTAACTCTTTAGGCCTGGGCTATTCACCATCTATTGTGTGGGCCACTCATCATCTAGTTTGTGGGTGACTCATCATCTATTTTGGGGTGACTCATCATCCATTTTGCGTGATTCATCATCTATTTTGGGGTGACGCATCATCTATTTTGGCGTGACTCATCATCGATTTTGATGGTGACTCATCATCTATTTTGGGGTGACTCATCATTTATTTTGTGGGGTGCCTCGTCATCTATTTTGTGGTGATTGTGGATACTCGACACCTATCTGGGGCCCGATAGGTGTCGAATTTCAGGAAACTCGACACCTATGGGGAGACAGATTGGTGTCAAATTTCCGGAAGTTCATGGATCCCCAGATAGGTGTCGAGTTTCGGGCAAATTCGACGTCTATCATCTGGGGCCAGATATTTCGCCACAACTAGGTCATGAAGGGGGCCAAAATAAATGATGAGTCTCACCACAATTAGGTAATAAAGGGGGCCAAAATAGATGATGAGTATGGCCATTATTGTGATGAACAGGCCCAAAATGGATGATGAGTCTCGCCACAATTAGTTGATGAAGGGGGCCAAAACAGATGATGAGTATGGCCACAAGTAGGCAGAACACTACCTCTTCCAAAGAGGGCATTTAAATTACTGTTACAGGTTACCTCCGAGACATAGCATCTGAATGGTTGGTCAGAGAGCTTGCAGACAACTTGGAATAATGACTGCCACGTCTCCACTCAAGCCGGGCTCGCTCTACCTCAGTAGAAACATGTTTTCGAATCAGCGAGCATGCCCTTGTGTCAAAGTCCCGAAGTCTCGTTGGAAGCCACTGATTTCGGCCAAATTTGGCAGGTAGGTTATGTTGCGCTGTAACATGCAGACAGCCTTAGAGCCCTGTGGAGACGCCGACGGCACAATTATGAAGGCACGCATTTCAATTTCCAAGTCGAACTATTTTTCCACATCTCCAATCAGTAGCTGCCGCAAACAAAGATCTTGCGGACGGTGCTTCGTAGGATTCCTGATCCCAGCTGCTTCAGAGCATGCAATACTGGCCCTTTCCGACAAGGAAAAGGGGGATTAGCGTCTATCGGGCTACTGCCTGACCCAGAACGCTTTGTAATAAATACACATCAATTTGCAGGCCCGTTATTTAGTCACAAAGAACCATACGAGGAAGGAGTCCGGGGTGTAATTTGCCATCAAGCATCTTCCAGCCATCACCGTCTTACCAAATCNNAGATTTTCCCGACTGCCCACCCTTTTCAATGACATATTCAGGCAACTTTGCGAAAATGTGGCCCCCTTTTGTCGAGTCCCGTTTGTTGAGCGTGCAGTGTTGGGCTAGAGAGCCTCCGAATAACGATAGTCTAAGTGAGGAGCCATCCCTATAGCTATCTACACCCCGCACGAACAACGGTCGTTGGATGCTTCTCAGAATGGACCCTCCCCCTGCCGAAGACATGCATGAGACAAAAACAAAAAATATTATCCAAGGGTTCCCTCCTCGTCAGAATGAGCTAAAGCCTTTTGATTTTTGTAAAGGCAATGATCAAACTTCCTTCAAAAGGCACCGCGCATATTGTCCGTGCATAGCTTGGAAACCATAACCTAGCGCAAGGCACCCCTGAGTCAAAGCATGCTTTCCAACTTATCTTGTTCCTCGCAACCCAAGAGGTCATAGCGGGTGCACAGAATTGATCACCCTAAAGTGTTCTCTTCCGCATGCGGGCTGTGGTGGTCGAAGAGGGATTTTGGGTAGAGTTACAGGGTTCCAAATGCCCCGAGGTTGGACGTTTCGACGATTTAACGGTAGGCTGTTGTATGGCACATGCTGCAGGGGTCGGAATAATCAGAACAACTTGCAAGAAGAGGCTACCGTACTGCAGTGGGATAGTTCTGCCAATGATTTCGGTTTTTGCTGACACTCGTGTTGACGTTGGTTTCGCACATCCTTTATGTCTATGCTGTTGTATGGCCCAAAGTCTCAGTTGATACAAGTGACGGGTGTGCATGTGTTGGCAGCATTAATCAGAGATGTTGAGACATGAAGATTCCGTGATCTTGATTGCCACGTGAGGCTTGATCAGATGTTTGAAGTTAGATCTGGTTGTATGACAGGTCATAAGGGTCGGTAGATTGTTGTTTAGCACATGCACAGCCGATGGCTTCTTTGGAGTGGGGCCCTCAGAATAGACGGATGCATGTGTGTATGCCATAGTGGGGATGTTTCAAAATTACCGCTCTGTGTTGAGGGTCCTCATAGTAATGGTCCTCATGTTCCAGCATGCATGATGGGACACTCCCAGAAGACTGTTCGAAGATTTTTCATTTTGCACCGGGGCAGTCTTCATGTTTCAGTCGTCCTTCCCGATGCCACGTCTGGATGCAGGAGTTGAGTCACTCACAGTACGCGTGGCTTCATGTTATGGCCAATGAGCTTTTGGGGAAGGAAAGTTGATAAAAAATGGCCCTAAACCTAAACCCTAGGCACCTTTTGCTTGTTGGTGTCGGGCTTGCCAGGGTGTTGGGTTCAGGGTTTAGAGTGTTCATAGTGATGTAGTAACCTGAAGAGTACAAGTATTCTTACACGATGAACCTCATGTCAGAACAGTATTCCAAGCAAATTGACTTCTACATTACTCCTCTGCCATGCGGTCATGTGTCCGGAAGTTGGGCCTGTATAGGGACGTACAGGATAATGAAGGTGCTGACTTAAAGCTGCTTGTACCAGTGATAAGATCTGCGCACAAAGTGAAATCGTGCATTGGCACGGCAATTCCTTCTTGTTTTTAGTGAGTTTGAGGCAAAAGAGCAGAGGATCTAGCTGGTGAACAAACGACCCACTCCGAAGAAGGCATTGACGGTGTGGGAGGG